TATTTATTTTGTAGATCTAATTTACGTTTGAAAGCTTGTTCACTTATTTTACCTGTAACTTAGACATTACACGTAAAAATTAGCATGAGTCTAGAGGTTTGCTGCATTAACGTACAGTGAGTTAGCAAATAGCGGATCAGAGCCAATAACGGATCAGTCAGTAATTTAACGAAATATTCTTTTTAACAGTTTTTGAGCTTAAAAACGTTTTTACCTAACAGGCATGTACATTAGGATGTTAGCTACTTGACAGCGGAAAAAATGTAAACATCCGTGTAATTCATATTAGATTCACTCAGATGCTTAACCAAGCGTTTCCGTTTCTCGTGAAATTTAGCGCCGTTGACAACGCATATTTGAAATTGTTGCCTTATTTATCATAAAAACTCGAAAGATATTGGATCAAAGCTGGTAGATATTTGATGCCCAATATGTTAACAACCCGCAACACCAACCGTTTAAAAAATACTTGAGGAATTATTTTGATAGCGCTATTCAAATGAATTGCACCGAGTTGTCCAAAAGCGGATCATGCAATTTTACAGGAAGAGACCGCCTCAAAGTTATCCAACCTATTATAGAAGATATTTTTTAAAGAAAATTTTGGTTTGTAGACCAAATAAATAAATAAATGATATAAAGTTTAAATGATTTATGTTAATATTACAACTGAATTATGCAGTCCATGCCAAAATAAGAGGTTAATACACGGCAGGAGAGGGCCGGAAGGTGATAATCGGCCCGCAAAATGGATAATGGACCTGAGGGCTTTAGCCCGAGGGCCATTATTCATTCAGGGCCGATTATCACCTTCCGGCCCTACGCTGACGTGTATTAATGTCTTTAATACACTTGGTAGATCTAATAGTAGCATTAAAAAAAAAAAAAAACATAATCAAAACAAAAAGACTTTGAAGTTCTTTCGTTGAAATTCTTGTCTACTCCTCACTGTTCTGTACAGAGATGTTTTCTGTTTGCGTGTTTAAAGCAGTAGAACCAAGAAGCAAGTTTTATTTTCATTTTTTTGGAATGAATTTGTCGTATTATTTCTTCAAATTTCAATAGTAACAAACATGTGTTTGTACTAAATACGCTTAGGGTCTCATAATAAAAATAAAGCGATTCGTGCTGACAACCTACTTTCACTTTTACAGATAACTGTTTGATGACGTTAAATGTGACGTCATTGTTTCAGTTTGTGCACGTGCACATGTTCTGCGGGCTGATAACTAGTTCTCGGCCCCGGGCCGCAAAGGCAATTTTGTTACTATATATAGTAACAAGTGTATTAAGAAGTATTTTATGCAGTATAAACAGCTGCAACAGTGAAATACTGTTACAGGCTACATGTACGTAGATATCCAGTTTTTTTTCAAGACTATATATAACATCATAACTCATTGTTATTAAATAAATCAGATACAAAGAATATATTTCTTTATTCATATTCAGCTATTTATATGACATATATATTGAGACATGTCCTCACCCAGCGTCTGTTTCCTGATTTCAGTTTAAGACATTTGTGAAGTAATTTTACAGTAAAATATTTTTTACATATACATTTTTTTTCTTAAAGCATCAACTTCAAACTTCAAATCATAATGTTCCTTATCATCAACCACGTCTTATGTGACAAGGTTGATAACTCTGGCAAAACTATTTCCATAATTATCTCCCCTTGGATAAAGATTTTTCATTAAAAATATTTTTTTTACTGCCACTTCTTTATTTCTTAATGTATCCACTTCAAACTTCAAATATATGTTCCTTTACATCATCGCCAACATGATTTGTGAAAGACTTAAAACAGAATTATTCCTACAGAATATGTGACTTCAAATGTATATAGTATATTTTAAGACGGGGCTTTAACTTAAAATTTTGTTAAAAATTTAATAAAACTAAATTAATTTATTACTTCTCCATTTTCTTCATTTCTCAAGGCATCTACGTTACTTATTATCACCAACATCACATGTGATAAATTTGTTACTCTAAAATGAATATTTCTATAATTTACCCCCTCCCCCCTCCCCATAGACTTTAGATAATTGTTCAGACAGTTCTTTGTCATTAATCAACGTTTTATTTCAAGAGTTACTTCCTCTTTGAACTATGATTTTTCTTTTAAAACTTCACATAAGTTTAGCTCTTATCATTCTTTTTATTGAAGGGAATAATTTTAGATTTCAAATTGTTGTCTTTTCCATTAGAGCATAGGAATTATTGTCTGACATGGTCACTTGCATGTCATATATCGCTCAAATATTGAACTTATACGTGGATTCTTGATGTTGATACTGAAATATATTTATATGATAATTTTGTCCATAGTCTTATCTTGAACCTTTAAATATTGTGTCCAGTAATTGATTAGTCGGGTGGAGCTGTCTCCTCTGACAGCTCTTGTTTCATATGCTAACAAAGACATTTCAATGCAGAATGGGTAAAAGTATTAAATAGTAAAATTATACTTAATGAATCCATGCCAGCTCAATGTTTATTTGTTTTATTGTTTCAGATTATGATGCTTCCAAAGGCTAAAGGAAAAGAAAAAACTGTACACAGAAGTCCAGCCTATGACCTAAAATTGTGTTGGTGGAACATTAAACCCAACAAAAATACAATTTTTTCAGTCACATGTCTGTTACATATAACAATAAAGAATTCTTTTTTACTTAAATTACATATTTTTGAAGCTGTTGCTACTGTTTTATAACAATTTATTGTGACATAGAATTTCATATCCATTTGTCTGCACAATCAGAATTATTATACATTGCCTTTTATGAATGATAGTCAGAATTGTTTTACACTAGTACATGTATTTTGTTATGATTTTGTTCGTTTTTTATTGCAGATTTGTTTATAAGGATGTGTAAAGCAGTATATGTTGAAAATTTTGTTTGTTATTCTTACATTTAGTATAATTATTCTAATCATACTGACCACATAGAAGGTCATGAACATTTCTAGGTATTGCACTTTTAGCTTTTGTTTCACAACAACAACAACAACAACAACAGCACATTAAGGTTACAGTTACATTAATCAAGTTTTACATAGAAGGTATTTTCATGAGCTGCTTTGTCCCCTGTAATCCTGAAAAAAAATGAATATGCATTTAATGTCAACCATTTGTCTTGTGGTTGTTGCCTACATAAATCATTGAGAGCAGTTATCTAGTTCACCATTATTACAATCATAACATAACTATGTTATCCACAATCCTTCAGTTGCCTCTTGAATTCTTTACTTAGTGGTACTCTTTGCACTCTGATATTCAGGGTTGACATATATTTGTGCAATATTTTCTTTGTGCAGGACGAATTTGACAGAAAATTCGAGTTTTGAGACAATCCCCCATTCGTATGTCACGTGATCCGCTAATGACTGATTTGACCCGTTATTGGCATGTTTACTATATGTTTGAAAAAGGTAAATGCACCATGATGCGTTCAAAATACAAATTCACAAGAAGTATACAGTAAAAGAAGAATAAAATTACTTTAAATCTACATACATTTATTTAAGAATTTAAAAATCATTCGTTCATAAACACTTAAAGTTTCACTAGTGATCCGTTATTGGCCAACTCACTGTACTTTTTTTACCTAATTTCCGCCAAAAGAAATATTTGAGCTAGTGAAACTATATTATACATGTATAGACTTGTCTCAACTAACAAGTACAACTTTCTTTATTGTCAGTATTAGAATGCGATTCTATTTAACGGAACATGGCTTTCTCTAGAATGTGTTTTTTTAACCTGTCAACTTTCTAACTTATTTTCCATTTACTACTCGTATGTGTAAAGTCCTTTATCATAACCCCTCGAGCAAGGACACGAATATCGGCCATTGTAAAACACTTTAGACCTATTAGCTATATTAACTATTTAGGTGTGAAAATTCAATTGTATTACTCAATTTCATGTTTACGAATGTGATAATGTATATAGGGACTTCCAAAACATTTATAAATCAGAGCGGGCGCTGTGGTGCAGTGGTAACACTGTTTGACTACAAGTCTAGGGGTTGCGAGTTCGATCCCCCGCTACTCCACTAAAAACTAAAAAAAAAACTTACAATCTTTCGTATGAAATAATAATAAAATTAAAACTACTCAAACATTGAACTGACACAAATGACACTACTAACACACTGACATACAGCTAGGATACTACTGACGCATGGTAGACTACTGACACACAGGACACTACCGACAGACATACTGGACACTACCGACAGACATACTGGGCACTACCGACAGACATACAGGACACTACCGACAGACATACTGGACACTACCGACAGACATACAGGACACTACCGACAGACATACAGGACACTACCGTCAGACATACTGTACACTACCGACATACATACTGGGCACTACCGACAGACATACAGGTCACTACATACAGGACACTAAATAGACATACAGGATACTACTGACAGACAAACAGAATAATACCGACAGTCAAACCGGACACTTCAGAAGACCACCGACATACATATCAAACATTACCAACAGACATACAGACACTACTAACAGATATACTGCAAACTACTAACATACTATACAGAACATACCGGACACTACTGACAGACATATCCGTCACTACTTACATACTACAGGACACTACCGACCGACATTCCGAACACTACCGACAGATATACCGGACACTACTAACATACTACAGGTCACTACCGACAGACATACCGGACACTACTGACAAACATACCAGACACTACCGGCAGACATACCGGACACTACTAATATACTACAGAACAATACTGACAGACATACTGGACACTACCGACAGACATTACAGTACACAAGTGACAGACATACCTGACACTACTAACATACTACACACCACCGACAGACATACAGGACACTACTGACAGACATACCAGACACTCCTTACATACTACAGGACACTACCGACAGACATACAGTACACTACTCACAGAAGGACACTATTCACAAACATGCAGTTTACTACTCACATACATACAGTACACAACTCACATACAGAACACTACTCACAGACGTACAGGACTCTACTCACAGATATACAGTACACTACTCACAGACATACAGGACACTACTTACATACAGTACACTACTCACAGACATACAGTATACTACCCACAGACATACAGTACACTACTCACAGACATACAAGACCCTACTCACAAATATACAGTACACTACTCACAGACATACAGTACACTACTCACATACAGGACACTACTCACATACAGTACACTACTCACAGACATACAGGACTCTACTCACAGATATACAGTACACTACTCACAGACATACAGGACACTACTTACATACAGGAAATACTCACAGACATACATTACACTACTCACACACATACAGGACACTACTCACAAACAGTACACTACTCACAAGCATACAGGACACTTCCCACAGGAATACAGTACATTACTCACACACATACAGGATACTACTCACACAAGCATACAGGACACTACTCACAGACATACAGTACACTACTCACAGACATACAGCACACTACTCACAGACATACAGTACACTACTCACAGACATACAAGACCCTACTCACAAATATACAGTACACTACTCAGAGACATATTGGACACTACTCACATACAGGACACTACTTACAGACATACAGGACGTTACTCTCAGATATACAGTACACTACTCACAGACATACAGGACACTTTTCACAAACATACAGTACACTACTCACATACAATAAGACAGTACTCACAAACACACAGTACACTACTCACATACAGGACACTACTCACATACAGTACACTACTCACAAGCATACAGGACACTTTTCACAAACATACAGTACACTACTCACATACAATAAGACAGTACTCACAGACACACAGTACACTACTCACATACAGGACACTACGCACATACAGTATACAACTCACAGACATACAGGACACTACTCACAAACACACAGTTTACTACTCACAAACATACAGTACACTACTCATATACAGGACACTACTCACATACAGGACACTACTCACAAACATACAGGACACAACTCACAGACATACAGTACACTTCTTACAGACATACAATACACTACTCCCATACATAAAGGACACTACTCACAAGAATACAGGACACTACTCACATACAGTACACTACTCACAGACATACAGGACACTACTCACAAAACATACAGGACACAACTCACAGACATACAGTACACTTCTTACAGACATACAATACACTACTCACAGACATACAGGACACTACTCACAAACATACAGGACACTACTCACAAACATACAGGACACTACTCACAGACATACAGTACACTACTCACAGACATACAGTACACTACTCCCATACATAAAGGACACTACTCACAGACATACAGGACACTACTCCCATACATAAAGGACACTACTCACAGACATACAGTACACTACTCACATACAGTGCACTACTCACAGACATACAGGACACTACTCCCATACATAAAGGACACTACTCACAGACATACAGTACACTACTCACAAGACATACAGACGACCTCTCACAGACATACAGTTCAGTACTCACAGACATACAGGACACTACTCACATACAGTACACTTCTCAGAGTCATACAGGACACTACTCACATACAGTACACTACTCACAGACATACAGACGACCTCTCACAGACATACAGTTCAGTACTCACAGACATACAGGACACTACTCACATACAGTACACTTCTCAGAGTCATACAGGACACTACTCACATACAGTGCACTACTCACAGACATACAGGACACTACTCCCATACATAAAGGACACTACTCACAGACATACAGTACACTACTCACAGACATACAGACGACCTCTCACAGACATACAGTTCAGTACTCACAGACATACAGGACACTACTCACATACAGTACACTTCTCAGAGACATACAGGACACTACTCACATACAGTACACTACTCACAGACATATTGGACACCACTCACATACAGGACACTACTCTCAGACATTTTAGTACCCTAAGACTGCTTGAAATAAGTAAACATAACAACTGCGCCAGAGAAGAGCCAAAATCCTTAGTTTTTCCATTTTACAAAATGCAAAAAACGACAGTATTGTAACAAGAAAACACAAAGAAAAGATTTTCATCCGAATGTTTCTACCTAAACTAAATTGACTGTTTAGACGTCACTATGAGTGGCATCCCTTGAATTTATTTACTTTGAAGTTATTAACATTGTTTCCATATCAATACTTTCATTATCCTCCTTCCGGTATTTTGTAACCGGTACAGGTACATGTATAATTAAATTACATATATTAAACATAGGTTTGTTATTACATTTTTTTACTGATTTATGTTTAAATGGGTATATGACCATATATAAAATTATCTCCAGTCAGTACGTCACATGGTTCAGCACAAGGAGTTTGGGTTCAGCAATGTGTATGAATACCAACTATTTCACGGACTACTTTCTTTCAAACTTTCCCACGCTCTGATTTGGTCAAATTAAAGATTATTATGACTTATTTTAGTAAAGTTTCTTGTCATAATCAATAATAAACATTCATAAATGTACATGTGTTGTTTTATTTAATATTTTACCCCTTTTAAACCTGATAATTTTACTTTTATATATTCAAGAATGAATTTTGCATGCTGGGTATTAGTTCCCTACTATTTTGCAATGCACACTGGGATACTACCATCGTCTGCAATAGTAAACTATGTCAGATTACCTCAGTCAATTATAAACGTAGGAGAACAAACCTTAAAGTATAATCTTTTTCGATATCTTAAAGGCTATTGTATTTAGCTATATATTCGATATTTAAAGGCTAATGTATTTAGCCTTATATAAGATTGTCACAAACCTACGAAATCAAACCATCGCTTCCGAAATGTATAGGCTAATATAAATACCCATATAAAAGATTACTACAAATCTGTGAAAACAAGCATGTAAGTATAATCAGTCATTTCGTCCTGCAATCGATACAAGAGCTCATAGGTTCAAAGACTTAATACTTAACCAAACTTAAAGTTTTAAGAGGTTGGTTATATATGAAGAACTAACTTGAAAAAAGGAAAGTTAAGGCATAATTTTCTTTCTTTTCCTTCTGTAAAAATAGATACATATAAATGTTAACATATGTGCCTGGTTAACCAAGTATTACAACGCAAAGTTTGACAATTTATGGGGCAATTCTATTTCTTTGCTGCGTAATTGAGACTAATGTTTAAGATCATTGATTCTAGGCTTGATCCACTCTTTGCACCCACTGCCCTTTTTGTACCTATTTCTCTTGAACACCTTGAATGACCTTTGGTCTTTTTTATTTTTTTTTCTTATGATATTAATGCATTAAGTATTCATGACAAGAGGTACAACTCCTAAGTGGATATCAATTTAAAAATAGTAGGAGTTGTTTCCCTTGAATTGATGACATGTTTTCTCAATATAATCAATGTTACCTTATGTTAAAGAAGTTCTATAATATTGTACATAAATAAGTTCTTAGAGGGAATCTTTTTTCTAATGTTATGTTAAAAATATGTCTTGCATTAATAATTTTGACAACTTTGGTACGATACTATTGAATATACGTACCTGGTTAGATCTATACTGTATACATAGTAGGCCTAATCAGGGACATAATCTTATAATGCTTTATATTACAAAATTAATTGTAATTAAAAGTCTCTGATTATGTCTTATTAAGGGCTAAATATTGTTGACTGAAATAATATCAAGTGATATTTAGTTACATAATTTTATGTAATAGAATCTATACCGATGATTCGTGACAGTGTTCTGTATGGTACAGGGATTAGCAATCGCAACATTTCGGCCCCTTCCGTAAATGAGTAAAACTATTTAATCGGAACATCTCGACAATTATGATAAACAACAACAACAACAACAATCTTAGTTTCGTTTTGTTAGTATTTTGTTGGAGAAAGTGGCAAATGAATTATAAGTCATAAAGTTGCAGGTCCTTGCATGAATCACAGATTATAGGAATCATGTCAAACCCCAGACCGAAGATAAAACACGATTATAAACATATACTTGTTAAAAACGCGTTGTACAGCATAGATAATTTTGAAGTGTTTCCTCTGGTTTTAAATAAAATTTGTCAGGCCAGAAAGGACCTCTCATTTTGTAATGCAGCCGAGAGCTTCACATTTACAGATGCAATATGCCGAGTAGAAAAGGAGCCAAAAGATCACGGAAATAAAGACCTTGTGAAGTTGCGAAAACTTAAAAACATTTTCCAGGATGGTATCAGAGTTCTTGATAAATACATAAGAGATGATATATTACCCAAAGATAAAGGAGCAAAATTTGCCGTGGAGAATCTACTGTGTTTTTTTTTGAAAAATTTTCAAAACCAGGTAGAGTATACTAGCATTTATAATCTAATTGGTATCCAACATAAAATAACTAGAGCTGTCGCCGAAAGTGGTGATATCTATCACAGATATACATACGACCCCATGTATCTATGTATTGTTGATATTTTTTATTATTATTTTTCACTTGATCAATAATTAATACACATATAAAGAAATAGATAATTTTGATTGATGATTTAAATGTCTACAAATTATAGGAATTCACCCAAACCATATCATTTAAAGAAGCAGTCCAGCTAAATTATGATCACAGATAGCTGGTATTTCTACTCAGGTACAAGATTTATGGAGGGGCAGCTAAGGTCTCTCTCCACCAGTAAGGCTTGACGGTCTTTATTTGACTTTAACAGTGATGGTGGGGCATAAAACACCAACCCCTGATAAAATACCAACAAAACACACACACTTTTAAATGACTCATTACACTGCTTCTAATTTACAGAGGCTGCTAGAAAGTTGTACAATGCAGTACATGATGTAAAATTTGATTCTGAAGTCCCCATAATTCTGGCACATCATCTTTTATCGCAGTTGGTAGTTTGTCCTGCTTACGTAGTTGATCAACAAAACAGAGGTTCCAGATCCACTAGATGTCCATGTTGCATGGAAGAAATGTCAGGAACATTTGGAGACACAAGTATGGGTAACTTTTAAAGAAAACCTGGTTAAATTATACATAGGTTTTGCATAAATAGAGGATATTTTTTGTTTTGAGAGAATTGGCTACATATGATCACACTGAGAAGTGAGCCAATTGCAATAGTTTCATGAGCACAAAGCCTACATGAAAATGGAATATTTTCTCATTTTGATGTGTGTTATGATATTATATAGCATATATTCATGAAAGAAAAAAGTTTTTCTTTATATTGGCTAATAAGTTTAATTTAAGAGCATTATTCAAATTTTAATTGTAAGGCAAGACGAAAACACACTTAAAGATGACTTCAGGCATTCAGAGGCTAAGCAAATGTAGTCATTATTGCAGAGTAATAATAAATAATTTTGGAATATAATGATAATTGAATAGAAAAATACAAATATGCGATTTAGAGCAAAATGCAACAATTAATTTCTATGTAGATTAACATATGTATGGAATCATATATAAATTAAAATGTATGCCAAAAGTAAGGCTCCCACGTTTACAATTTTTTGTAAACGTTTTCACGATTGTTAAGAACCGAAACGATACCGTTTAAACAGGGGTACCTATATGTACTATACAACATCATGTATTCGAGTCGCCAGATGATGACTTACTTTCTATTTTTAACACATGTACAAAACAAACAAATAAATTATGTTCAAAGGTCATCACGATTGTGTCGGCACACATTTTATGCATCGAATCTCCATTTCTCTCTTTTGAAAGATCAAAGGAAAATCAAACTTACAAAAATGTATTATGTCACAAGCGATTATTGCAAAGCAATGCTGTGTGGAAGGTTGTAAACACCCATTTTCCGTTTTTGACTTTGGAATAAACCAATAAGAATTGATAAAATCAATGATTACAGGCAATGATCAAGATATTTGTAAGATAATATGGTCATTTCGATTAAACGGTAAGCAATATCGTCAATGTTTACAAATGACAATCAAAACGAATTTGTTTAAACGTGTAACCGTGGGGGCCTTAGCCAAAAGAAGTCTGGCAGAGAATTTGGGTGATATGCTGTGAACGATATGGATTTTATTATACTGGTTGTTTTGGTAATATTTTGATTCTTTACATGAAATTACAATGCCAAGAGCTTTGATATTTGTCATTGCCTATTGGACCTCTACAAAATTTCTGAAAGTCATGCCCTTTGGAAAATACACTCAAGTCTTTCTTTTTTGAAACTACAATGCATGTAGCTTAGATATTTGGCATGTTACATTAGTTTAGTTTATACAAATTTATTTTAGTTCAATTGTATTGGAAGCTATTAGCGTATTGAAACACTCTTGAATCTGTTCTTTGAACCAACCAGTACTAAGCATTGTAAGCAATAAATGTAAAGTTTCTTGCTCAAGGAAACAGCGGCTAACCCCTGACAGGGTTTGAACCCATGCTGTCAGCAGTCCTTAGAATACTAGTCTGATGCGTTAACCACTTTGTCACGCCGCCACTCTGTGTTACATTGCTTAGTGGATAGCTACTAAATTTCAAGTCATATACACATTGGGGTAAAAAATGGCCCCGCCCTTAATTGAAGTCACTTAGTTTACATTGATTTTTATTTTAGAAATATCTTTTTTTTTCTCTTTTATTTTTTCAATCCTAATTTACAAACATTCAAATCATAGTACATGTAATTGAATACATAAAAAATAATGTCAAATCAATGTTATCAAATTATGACAAGTATATTTGTATCTTAAGATCTTTTTATAAAAGATTTTGACAGAAGAAAATGAGTGCTAAGAAAAGCTGATAATACTATAAAGTGCACAGTAAGTATGAAAGAGAGAAAAGAAAGTGTTTAAAGAAAAGAAAGATAAATGAAGAATGAGAAGAAAAAAAGAGAGAGAAAAGATAAAGATTAGTTATGTCCCTATTAAAAGATAGTTGAAAAAAAATTACATTCATAATGATATTTGACAAAGCTAATACTTAGTAAAAAAATATATATAAAAAAATAAAAAATGGAGAAAATATAAGGAATGGACTTAAATATCTTGAAAATCTTCCCTAAAAGTACAATGCCAAGAGCATAAATATTTGTCTTGTATAATCACCGTGTGGTCCTCTACCAAAAATTATAAATCATGCCCCTGGGGTAAAAATTGATCCTGCCTAATGGGTCACTTAGTTTTATAGCCAATGGTCTCTTTCCGGTGGCGAGGGTAAACAAACCCAAACACACAATTAGTTTTATATTTTATATAAGTTTATTTAGGCATGTTTTGGAAAATACATTTTAGCATTTTGTTGTGCAACTACAGTGCCAAGAGCTTATATAATTTTTATTTAGCATTACTTTAGTTGTGCCCCTGGGATCGCCCTTGGGGTCAGGTCAATTAGTTTACATAGATTTATATAATAAGAATGTCTTAAAAGTCTTCTCTGAAAGTACAGAGCTAAGATACTGGTATTTGACATAATTATAAGATCACCTTGTGATCTTCTACAATTTCTTTTTTATATATCACGCCCCTGGGATCAAAATTGGCCCCACTATAGGGGTAACATAGGTAATATACTTACATTGAAAAACATTTTATGGAGTCTTGTGTGAAATTACAATACCAATAACTTAGATATTTGTCATTTAGCATTTTGTGTAGCAGACATCTTCAAATATTTCAAAAATTGTGCACCTTGGGAAAAAAACCCAGAAAAAAAAACAGCAAAAAACAACAACAAAAAAACAATAACAATGTAACCTCATTCCTGACTTGAACATGGAAAAAATGAAATTGTATTATCAGATGAATGATCGACAGCCACCATGGCCCTCTTTTTTTACATTCTAGTTGGTCAATATTCTAGGATTATTTGTCAAAATTAGGTTAAAAATAATCATTAGTGTGGTTTTTGGTGATGTTTTACATGCTACATACTATATTGTTATGTTTCAGGGAGCACCAGTGTTTGGCATGGAAGGCTTGATATTCTCTTTGATCATGTCTTTGTTGTATGTACTTCAAGCCTAGACAATAATAATGATGATGATGATGATGAAGGACAGTCGTCTTCAGTGGCGATTGTGTATGAAGAGCAAAGAGGAGCTCTTAAAAACACTAAAAAAATTAAGGATCAACTGAGAGCCCAGAACATTGTTTTTTCGTTTGTTCAGAAGCGTTTCCATCCAGATTTACAACATTTTTTGGTGCCTCATATTGGAATATCAGAGGATAGTGTGCAACTATATTTCTATGATTGTGAACATGATATTCTAATTGAATCCAGACAAGAAAAGTTGTTCGTTTCTGAAGAAGAAATTAATATGAAAACTATTATAGGACTTTGGCTAGTACTGAACCACAAATACTTCTGTTCAGGCATAACCGAAGAGATGAAAACTGGAGGTTTCACCGCAGGATTCCTGGAAAATTACCCGGCTAGAAAAAAAGATATATGAGGAAAAGTTGAAGTTTGGTTGTGGATCATCTAGTGTTGAACATGATGTAAATATTGACTATAGAAATGATCATGAGTTTTTGGAAATTGAAACACCGTTAAAGAAACGGAGAATTAATGTATTTTCTGACTGTAGTCCCGATTGATTTTATTGAATTATGCTGGTCTTTACTGCATATTACATGACATCAACTTTAAATAGTAAGGCACATTATGCCTCAAAAACAAAATGTCTTGTTGCTTTAAAAAGGCACAATGCTTCTTTAGAAAGAACAAACTTGTATTTGATAATGTTTAGATAATGGATTTAGAGAATGTAAGATGCTTGTTATCTGAAAAAGGTAGTGATAAATGTGAAATAATTTTTCATAAAAGTAGCAAAATGTTAACAAACTAGTACTGTGAAATCATTTTAATTTGAGGCATAAATTTTCGTGGTTTCCCGGCAAAAGGCAATTTCTTGGGGTCGTAAATTCCTGGATTTCAATTTCAAGGAATAACAAATATATTGGGCCGAAAATTCGTTGATTTCAAAATTCGATAAAACCATACAAATAATATCCCTAATTTGTGCTATGAAATTGTTGACACGTGCATGTTCATGTGGTTCCCCCTAACCGTCAACAGAAGATTCATAACAAAAGCTCATTAGTCAGTTTAGTATTGGATTCATATCTATGTTTATCTTTGATTCAATGAATGATGTACAAGAAAATCGTAGGTAGGCACACAGTTTGACTACAGACGATGTACCATTTTCGCACCACTATGAGCATTTTTGGTGCTGTTTTTGCTACTTAACATTATCTTGGGCACAATTTGTTCGTTGGGATTCGATTTTGTGGGTTACCTGAACCACGAAATTCACGAAAATTAATCCCCCACGAATATTAATGATTTCACAGTATTTTGACTTGATTCAGTATAACTATACTTAAGGGGAGATAATCCTGAAAGCTGTTTTTACATTTTTGTTTCCCATGTTTGACTTAGAATATTTGCCTGTTTCTTAAAGTTCAAAGGCACAACACAGATTTATGTCAACTGTTATGAAAAGACATCAATGGGACAAGACATTAATGGAGATAAAATTTAACTTGACCTTTACCTTATTTTGACCTTGACACTTGAGGTCAAGTTAGTGAAGTTTGCTATAATGGTCCATAAATTGTTATTTAGTCAGGGATTTGATTTATACTTGGGCAAGAAACAAAAAAACAACAACATTTATAACAAAATTGAAATGAGGATTATTTCAAATATGACTTTAACCTAAACAAGACCTTGTGTCATAACTTTGTTATTTATTTATGTGTATGATAAAAAAACTTTTGACAAAACCTGTATTTTGAATTATAAACTTGACCTTTATTTGTCTTTGAACATCAAGGTCATATTATTGAAATTTGCTTTGATTAATACTAACTGTGTTATAGTGCGCCTCTACGAGGTAAAGGCGACATATGGGGATCACTTCTACGTTGTCTGCCTCTCTGTCTGTCTGCTCTCACGGGACATTAATGTTGCTAGAGGGACAATAGGTAACTGTTCTTTCCCTTGTTGTCGTTCATTCCGTATTTTATGTGGCTATTTTCTTTTGTGTGGCTAAAATGAACAATGGGTAGAACAATAGAGTAGCCAATAGAGTAGCCACAGTATTACTGTCCTGTAAGAATGATTTTTATTAGAGTTATGGCCCTTTATGAGTTTTATTTTTAAAGTTTGTCCGGACTACCTAAAGCTACAGTCTCACTGATATCCCAGCAGAGCATCGGAAGACATCTGGGTTGATCTGGAAACGACTGGGTATGACTGGAAACAACCGGGGGGTACATCTGTAACTCTGCCAGCGATGTCCGGGATAATCTTGGAACATCCAGCATGGAATAAAGTATTTAATATCACTAGGGTGGTCCGGGATGATCTGGGAAGTATAGCTTTGCCGGCTTCATCATTAGCTCTGCCTGGAACACACTGGGGATGATCCTCGGTATGATATAGCCAGTAGAGCTATGGTAGAGCCCCGGTGAATGCTGGCAGAACCCGGGTTAATGCTGGCAGAGCCCCAGAGGATGACGATGGAGCTACGGTTGATCCTGGTAGAGTCCTAGCAAAGCCCGGTTTATTTCAAAAGAATCACGACAATTTGCAATGATTGCACTTGTTTGTATTAAAACAATTCCCATTTTCCTTCTATCAGATCCAGTCTTGCATAAGGATTTTTCAGAAAATTATCATGAAAAATTATGTATCAATGAAATAATTTTTGTGCATTTTCAATCTACCGGGGGCTCTGCCTGGATTGTCCTGGGCTCTGCCTGGGCTCTGCCTGGAACGACCAGGGCTCTGCTTTGGTCAAACAGGACTCTTCCGGCCTTATCCCGGAACAACTGGAGAAGCACCGGCATGAATTATAGCTTCACCTTGGCTCTGACTGGATGATCAGGAGCGCATCTTGGGTGGTGAGTTGGGAATTACCGTAATGCTGCCCAGGGGTTAGTGTGACCGCAACAATGATTTCACCCCGGATCATCCTGGTAACTTACCGGGATGGTCCTGGACTGTGCCGGGAGTAAGTGAGACCACAGCTTAATGCAATTTCGGGCATATTATGTTATACCCCCTGGTGTCTCTCTGTGTGTCCGTCGGGGGTTTGGTTTCCAGAGCATAACTTTAGTTCCATTCAGCCCAAAGTGTTCAAACTAAATAGGATGATTGTCCATATTGAGTAAAACACCCCTACTGATTTTGGGGTCACAAGGTCAAGGTCACTATTACCTTAAAACTGAAAACAGTTTACAGCGCATAACTAAAGTTCCATTCGAACCACTGTGTTCAAACTTCATAGGATGATTGTCCATATTGGGTTTAACATCCCTATTGATTTTGGGGTCACAAGGTCAAAGGTCAAGGTCACTATTACCTTAAAACTGAAAACAGTTTCCGGAGCATAACTAAAGTTCCATTTGGCCCACAGTGTTCATGCTTCATAGGATGATTGTTCATTTTGGGTAGAATACCCCCTTTTGATTTTGGGGTCATAAGGTCAAAGGTCAAGGTCATTATTACCTTAAAACTGAAAACAGTTTCCGGAGCATAACTTAAGTTCCATTTGGCCCACAGTGTCCAAACTTCATAGGATGATTGTCAATATTATGTAGAACATATTCTATATATTTTGGGGTCACAAGGTCAAAGGTCAAGGTCACTATTTCTTTCAAACTTAAAACAGTTTCAGTAGCATAACTTAAGTTTCATTTTGCCCACAGTGTTCAAGCTTCATAGGGTGGTTGTCCATTTTGGGTAGAACACCCTTATTGATTTTGGGTCACAAGATCAAAGGTCAAGGTCACTTTTACTTTCAAACTGAAAACAGTTTCCGGAACATAAATTAAATTTCATTTGGCCCACAGTGTTCAAACTTCATAGGATGATTGTCCATATTTGGTTGAACACCCCTATTGATATGGGGTCACAGGGTCAAAGGTCAAGGTCACTATTACCTTAAAACTGAGAAAAACTTAAGTTTTATTCAAGTTCCATTTGGCCCACAATATTCAAACTTTATAGGAGGAATGCTATTTGAAGGAAGTAATAATTTATTTAATTCCCATGTCTTACAAATGCCTCATCCTTACTAAAAAAAAAAGAAAAAGAAAAAACGCTTTCGGGCATACAATGCTCCGCCTAGCAGTGCTCTTGTTTTTATTGTGAGATGCCAGATACACAAAGCTTGTCAAGTCTACCTCTTAAAAAACTACTGGTGCAATATCATCCAAACTTTACAGGAATGATAAGTACCAAGTCTAGTTGTGTATATCATCGGCTTTTTATGGTTCAATCAATTTCGTTAGAGTTATGGTCCTTTAATTATTTTTTTTTGAAAGTGTGTCCGGACTACTCATTTACCACTAATGCAATTCAATGACACTTTACAGGAATGATTGGTAGGTCAAGTATTTGCATAGATATCACGTCTTTTCCGCTTGAATGATTTTTGGCCAAGTTATGGCCCTTGAATGAAAAATGTGTTAATAAAGTTTGTACGGAACATACCTCTTATACCATTAATGAAATTTCAGTGAAACTTTACAGGATTGATTGTTAGGTCAAGTACTTGTGCAAAACACACAAGTTTTTTACTTCGATAATTTTAAGCTGAGCTATTGCCCTTGAATAAAAAAAAAGAATTTAACCCTGTTAATGACTTTTGGCTCTCCAGCTACACACAACCTGTAGCATGCGATTGTCTATCATGAGGCGACACATGTCATCACTAATGGCCCTTGTTTATTTAAGGATTTGATCTATTCTTGGACATAAGAACACATATGAAAAAGCTCACACCTTGAATTATTTTGATATCACTTGGACCTTTAATTGACCTTGAACTTCAGGGTCAAATTATTGAAATTTTCTTAAATTGTCATAACTTATTTACAAATTGGGACAAAAGAATACAAGATGAAACTGTCATGTTGAATCATTCTGATACGACTTTAACCTTTAATTGACCTTCACATTGTCAATGTACTGTCAAGGTCAAATTGATGAAAATTGCTTAAATCGTCATAACGTGATTAAATATCGTCATACGTTATTTATTTATGGCAAAAGAACACTTATGATAAAACCTTTACATGTAATTAATTCATATATGACCTTGACCTTTGAATGACACCAATATCAAATGTAAAATATTACGTGTATTTCATACAAGAAAATAATGTTTTCTAAGAGTATTCTTTCTTACAATATTAATCCTCCAATCACGTGATAAGAAAATAAGTTGAGCGTGACCACTCTAGGCAGTGGCTTTTGTCGATATAACGTTTGGCGTACAAATTTTGCTTAAGACACAATGATATTGATTTCTTTATAGATTTATGTAGATTTATCTTTGATAACTTATTTCAATGCTCTGTCCGCTTAGCAAATTATAATCAGTAACATTGGGTTCGCCGTTTTGATCCTCTTGCGAGGCGTAATTTATCCTTCATGCCGAGTCTTATTGTGATTTGTCTTACAACGCTGATATAGTATTATATGAGATTAGTAATTGGTCACTTGAGGGGAAATAGGGTAATTATTGCTTAGTTATTTCAGGGAAGCCTGGCAGGTGGATCGGCCGACAATATATGACCAAATAAAACGTGTTTAAATCTTTCTGCGCCCATGATTAATAAGTATATGCATAGTTTCCGGATAAGTAGTGTTGCTGATAATTTTGGATAGAGTTTCGGTAAATCTTTGTAGCTAGATTCTAGTTTAAAATTGAAAACTTCTGTCTGTCTGCCTGTCTGAAATAACGTTTAATATTTAATAGTTGTACGCTAAACTATTTAAACAGCCTGAAAGAGTGGGAGGACTGGACAGCTGTATTTTGTTTAAACTTTAAATGTTTTCACAATTTCGTATTCGCGTTTGTAGAAAGTTTATGGGCAATAGACAGTCACACTATGAATGCTCATAATAAATAATCAAATTGTTGACATGGGTTGGACGGCTATAGGAAGTTGAAGCTACCGTTCTAGTCAAATAGCTCGCGCTGATATAACAATATTGTGTATACACTGCTGATTGTAAAGTGCTGTTATAATTGAACAAATATTTGATTACCGCTTGTTTAAGATAAAGCTGCATATTTTAATTCTGAATGATATATCGAGTACAATACTCGATAAGCAGAACATTTATCTAGTCTTAAGTATGCATGTGTGTGTATTGTATACGAAATTTCAAAAAATGTAAAAAAAAAAACAACAACAACATAAAACATTCAAGCGTTCCAAAATTTATCTATTTATTTCCAACAATAAGTTCAGTGAGTTAGCCAATAGCGGATCATAGCCAATAACGGATCAGTCAGTAATTTAACGAAATATTCTTCTAACAGTTTTGTGCTTTAAAATGTTTTTACCTAACAGGCATGTGCATTAGGATGTTAGCTACTTGACAGCGGAAAAAATGTAAACATCCGTGTAATTCATATCAGATTCACTCAGATGCTTAATCAAGCGTTTCCGTTTCTCGTGAAATTTAGCGCCGTTGACAACGCATATTTGAAATTGTTGCCTTATTTATCATAAAAACTCGAAAGATATTGGATCAAAGCTGGTAGATATTTGATGTCCAATATGTTAACTACCTGCAACAATAACCGTTTAAAAAATACTTGAGGAATTATTTTGATAGCGCCATTCAAATGAATTGCACCGAGTTGTCCAAAAGCGGATCATGGAATTTATAGGAAGGTACAGCCTTTAAGTTATACAACCTGTTATAGAATATCTTTTTTAAATTTTAGTTTGTAGACCAAATAAATAAATAAATAATATAAAGTTTAAATGATTTATGTTAATATTACAACTGAATTATTCAGTCCATTCCAAAAAAGTATGTTATGCAGTATAAACAGCTGCAACAGTTAAATACTGTTCCAGGGTACATGTACGTAGGTATCCAGTTTTTTTCCAGAATATATATAACATCATAAATCATAGTTATTAAATAAATCAGATACAAAGAACAAATTGTTTCATATTCAGCTATTTATATGACACATATATTGCGATTTGTCCTCACCCAGCGTCTGTGTCCTGATTTCAGTTTAAGATTTTTGTTCAGTAATTTTACAGTAAAATATTTTTTACATATACATTTTTTTTCTTAAAGCTTCAACTTCAAACTTCAAATCATAATGTTTCTTATCATCATCCACATCTTATGTGACAAGGTTGATAACCCTGGCAAAACTATTTCCATAATTATCTCCCCTTGGATTAGGATTATTATTTTTTTTACTGCAACTTCTTTATTTCTTAATGTATCCACTTTAAACTTCAAATATATGTTCCTTTACATCATCGCCAACATGATTTGTGAAATACTTTTTACAGAATTATTCCTACAGAATATGTGACTTCAAATGTATGTAGTATATTTTAAGACTAGGCTTAAACTTAAAATTTTGTTAAAAATTTAATAAAACTAAATTATTTTATTACTTCTCCATTTTCTTCATTTCTCAAGGCATCTACGTTACTTCTTATCACCAACATCACATGTGATAAATTTGTTACTCTAAAATAAATATTTCTGTAATGTAAAATATTGAACTTATAAAAATACGTGGATTCTTGATGTTGATACAGAAATATATTTATATGATATTTTGTCCATAGTTTTGTCTTCCTTTAAATATTGTGTCCAGTAATTGATTAGTCGAGTGGAGATGTCTCCTCTGACAGCTCTTGTTTCATAATTATGCTAACAATGACATCTTAATGCAGAATGGGTCAAAGTATTAAATAGTAAAATTATACTTAATGAATCCATGCTAGCTCAATGTTTATTTGTTTTATTGTTTCAGATTATGATGCTTCCAAAGGCTAAAGGAAAAGAAAAAAAAATGTACACAGAAGTCCAGCCCTATGACCTAAAATTGTGTTGGTGTAACGTTAAACCCAACAAAAATACAAATTTTCAGTCACATGTCTGTTACATATAACAATAAAGAATTCTTTTTTACTTAAATTACATATTTTTGAAGCTGTTGCTACTGTTTTATAACAATTAATTGTGACAAAGAAGTTCATATCCAATTGTCTGCACAATCAGAATTATTATTACATTGCCTTTTATGAATGATAGTCAGAATTGTTTTTCACTAGTACATCTATTTTGTTATGATTTTGTTCGTTTTTTATTGCAGATTTTTCTAAGGAGGAGTAAAGCAGTATATGTTGAAAATTTTGTTTGTTATTCTTTTAAAATATATCCTAATCATACTGACCACATAGAAGAACATGAACATTTCTAGGTATTGCACTTTTAGCTTTTGTTTCACAACAACAACAACACATTAAGGTTACAGTTACTTTCATCAAGTTTTACATAGAAGGTATTTTCATGAGCTGCTTTGACCCCTGTAATCCTGAATAAAAATGAAAATGCATTTATAATGTCAACCATTTGTCTTGTGGTTGTTGCCTACACAAATCATTGAGAGCAGTTATCTTGTTCACCATTATTACAATCATAACATTACTATGATAACCACAATCATTCAGTTGCCTCTTGAATTCTTTACTTAGTGGTACCTATTTAGGGGTGACATATATTTGTGCAATATTTTCTTTGTTCAGGACGAATTTGACAGAAAATTCGTGTTTTGAGACAATCCCCCATTCGTATGTCACGTGATCCGCTAATGGCTGATTTGACCCGTTATTGGCATGTTTACTAGACGTTTGAAAAAGGTAAATGCACCATGATGCATTCAAAATACAAATTCACAAGAAGTATACAGTAAAAGAGGAATAAAAATACTTCAAATCTACCTACATTTATTTAAGAATATAAAAAATCATTCGTTCATAAACACTAAAAGTTTCACTAGTGATCCGTTATTGGCCAACTCACTGTTGTAGCTTTTAATCTACAGTATTTAGAAATATTTTTTTATATTAAAATCACATTAAGTCTAAAAATGGCTACACTTTTACTAACAAAAAGAAGCATTTGAAAAAGATAAAGAAAACAAACAGCAATATTTGTTGAGCTTATCGGACTATTTGAAAATAAAGTTCTAAATATACTTTATGAAATTAATAAGATGAACAGAAGGCTTTCATTTGAATTGTTCCTGACTTTGATAAAACCAGTCAATGCAAACATGATGAAATTTTGAAACTTGCTTGGAGGTTTTTTTTAAATAAAGCGGTTTTTATTTTATTTCTTTTAAATGAATAATTGAAAAAGTTTTTCTTTTGCCGAAATTTGCGTTTTCATTTTCAGAATCTCTTCTGGGGGTCTATTTATCAGGGAAAAACTTTGAACTGATGGCACCGGCTGCCGCACCAATGGCCGCTCCAGTTGCTCCCACACCAGCAGCTCCGATAGATTGACACGTTGCTAGTAAAGATCCAGAAGCCACAGTCCCACCATAGGAAGCCATCCAAGATGCAGCTGTGCTTCCTGCAGCGATGCCAGCGGAAGTAAATCCCAAGGCGCCAAGAGCTGCAGGGAGACCGAATGTGGTAACAATTCCTCCGGCCACTGTAAGCCCTACTGTTTTAGTCCAACCCTGGAAGAAAATAATCTAAAAGTCTTCGACTGATATTGAATCTTGAAAAGAAATTCCTGGATCCATTACTTTAAAATTTGGTAATTTGTGTGAACAAACAAAAGTTAAATGTGGGGACGACAAAATTCCATTTTCAGCATGCTACAGATGATTTGATAATTCTTTCTTAAATGAAATATTTCACTTGGGCTTAAAAATGACCTATCGCTATTCAAATACACATTAATTTTATACTTTGCTAATCTTTTTCATGAATTGATAAAAATTGCTACAGACTAGTATACACCAAGAGTGATCATTGCTAAAATGATTTATGCCTTGAAAAAATAGTTTTGGTACACATATACTTGAATATGATCTTGTGGAAGAAAAGAAGTGAAAACATAACAAATATTGAAGCAAAACATTATGGTTATATAAATCCATATTCAAGATTTCTTTGTATATATTATTAAGGTTGAAGGCTGAAGACGATATCATAATGATAGAGTATTAAATATCGCATAGTTACATACACTTTGATAATATATTGCAAAATTCAAACGGCGACCATAACTCAAGAAGGTTCATTTTAATTGATAAATGAAAACAATATGCATGACAAAAATTGATAAGTATCACTTCAGTCAAATTAAACTCCAGGGACTGTCAGACAGACGGACAGTGTGATCTCTAGCATTAGAGATTTCAATGCCAAATAACAAATGTATGAGTAACCAATACAATAAATCACGGGTGTAAAGGCTGACCCGGCTGTTTACTGGTGAAAAAGGGTAATTATAACAAAAATGAATTAAGATCCTGTATGTTTTGTGATTGACATTGTTACTGTGTGTATACCATACTTGCAAAAATTTTTTTATGTATATAAATATGCAAATAAAATAACATCGAAGAATATGTAAATGTGTACTGCAAATATTTGTGCACATTATATTTAATCAATAAATTACATGCATTCATTTCTCATTAGAAAATTTGACTTAAGAATTTATAGAAAATAAATTTTTATTACCTTTATTTACACCAAATGTTAAATTGAGAAATATCTTTATAAATAATGCTTATTGCAACTTACAATATTGAAAATCTTAAGTTGAGCATCATATTTATGAAATAAAAATATGAAAAAATTGTGTTGCAGGATCTTAGAAAAGCAGATTAAACAGGCAAATTGACATACACTTTGCAATGTAAAAACGCGAAAAAAGATAATTTTTCACTAACCATTTCCGAAATAGTCGGACAACCCGAGCCAGTCGAATTCATTTGGCACTGTCTTTTTGGAACAGTTCTGTAAATCAAAATAACAAATGAGTTTGAAAACCAAGCCCTAAAAATCAACAACTAATCGAATAAAAAGGTCAACAACAACAAACAATGTGTTTTTAATGGAAACGTATTGCTCGGGGCAATGGTATTTATAGATCTGTGTACACCTTCAATTCTTTAATAACAAAGTAACGAAATGTGACACTGCTAGATAAATATGTATCCATCTGTTAGTTCACAGGATGTTCATATGCTGTCAATTAAAGCAATATATTGTCAAATAAATAAGAATTTATGTCAAATATATACCATCCTGTATGATAGATAAACACAATAAATGTACAATAGATAAACATAACGAATGAATAATAGACAAACACAATGAATGTATAACAGATAAACACAATGAATGTATAATAGATAAACTCAACGAATGATAATAGATAAACACAATGAATGTATAATAGATAAACACATTGAATGTTTAATAGATAAACACAATGAATGTATAATAGATAAACACAGTGATTGTATAATAGATAAACACAATGAATGTATCATAGATAAACACAATAAATGTACAATAGATAAACATAACGAATGAATAATAGACAAACACAATGAATGTATAACAGATAAACACAATGAATGTATAATAGATAAACTCAACGAATGATAATAGATAAACACAATGAATGTATAATAGATAAACACAATGAATGTATAATAGATAAACACAATGAATGTATCATAGATAAACAAAATGAATGTATAATAGATAAACACAATGAATGTATAATAGATAAACACAATGAATGTATAATAGATAAACACAATAAATGTGCAATAGATAAACACAATGAATGTATAATAGATAAACACAATGAATGTGCAATAGAAAAACACAATGAATGTATAATAGATAAACACAATGAATGTATAATAGATAAACACAATGAATGTATTATAGATAAACACAATGAATGTATAATAGATAAACACAATGAATGTATCATAGATAAACAAAATGAATGTATAATAGATAAACACAATGAATGTATAATAGATAAACACAATGAATGTATCATAGATAAACAAAATGAATGTATAATAGATAAACACAATGAATGTATAATAGATAAACACAATGAATGTATAATAGATAAACACAATGAATGTATAATAGATAAACACAATGAATGTATAATAGATAAACACAATGAATGTATAATAGATAAACACAATGAATGTATAATAGATAAACACAATGAATGTATAATAGATAAACATGTATAATAGATAAACACAATGAATGTATAATAGATAAACACAATGAATGTGCATGCAACGTCTCTTGACAAACTAGTACTGATGATAGGAGGGTTACTGCACCATTTTCTTTGAATTAAAATCTGCAGCATCACGAGGACGTATTTTGAGCTGCACGCCTCCAGATGAGCCAAAAATATTTCAAGAAAATGACAATTGAGAAAAATGTACTAATATTTCAAGAAAGGTAAAAACAATCAAGATCAATGTTAAAGTTTACAAGTTTTTTGCGATTTAAAACTGATTTTGCAGTATTCATCTCCATATTTCTACTGCGTTCCTAACGCAGTAAGGTTTTTTTTGCACATTTTGACCTGTTTTTGGTTATTTGCATGGATTGTAAGTGCCATTTGCAATATGTGAATAACTTTATCTGTTCCCCTCACAATAGTTTACTGTCAAAAACATTATCAAAATTTTCATGAAATTTAACATGAATCTGCAGGTGTGCTGCTTTAAGCACAGGAATTCATTTAGACCGACGGCTTCTGCAGATGTTAAAAGTCAAAACAGGCGCATTCATATTAGTTTACGTCTTAAACGGTAATTCCGCACTTTGTTGTCTGTGTTTCATATAAAGAAATCATTGCTTGTGTCATGCTTTCCACGTGCTTTTGACGGTTATCTTTTGATAATAAATCTAACGGGGCTATAAATAAAGCTTTTCTTACGCAGAATCAAAGACTCGTGGTTACATCTGTTGATGTATACATACGTGCGCATATATATATATATGCAAATGGCAGTCGATCTGGATCACCAGACGCTCATGAAACAGTGAAAGGTACATGTAAATTCGGATAGACACATCATCGGGCATAGCAATATAGATAAGATATATTATAATGTACCTTTCACTGTTTCATGAGCGTCTGGTGATCCAGATCGACTGCTTCGTTATTATTAGTCGCCGGTAGAAACCGGCGACGATATTTGTAACAGTTTAATAGTATACCTATGGTAGGAGAAGGCCTTAAAATCTGAGAATGAAAGCATATCAATAATTGAACAATTAAAGACCACATTTATGTTTCAGTAATCTTTAAAATTCAAACATATGATAACGTTGCTCAATGAAATGAAATATACAAATATTGACATCTCAAAAAGCAACAGTGCATTTTTTATAAAATGAATTAAGAACGTATCCCTATGGACAAGTCATTAAACTTAAAAATTCGAACTTGCGCCTACTAGGTAATACTTACCACTAGGCCATCGAGCAGTATTAATTGAAATATAATTATACTTTTGATAAAATCTTTAACATTAATCTTAATAAGTTACGTAAGCCAACGAAGCATCCCCGAAAATTAATGAATCTCAGGTCAATATTGCCAAACAATATTTGCTTATTTAATAATGATAACAGTTTCTTGACAATATTGCTAAGCACGTTTGCTTCAAATATGATCTTGTATTTTGAATAAATATTACTCAATATATTGTTCCTCTCTTCTTTATACTTGAACCATTAAACTGATATTAACTTATCATTTTCTATCCGGCGACATCAAAATCTCTACTTGTTTCATTTTTAAGCATAATACTAATTGTCACAGTATAATTATCGTTCATTTAACACAATTGTATGTTTTAATTTTGATAACAACCATTAATATCACGCAACTGTCCGTATATTTATGTTTGGATACATAAATATACGGACAGTTGCGTGATATTAATGTTGTGACCTTTTGAAATCAATTGAAAAAGGGGCATAACAATATCTTATATTTCTTTGAGCGGTTACAGTTTTGGTTTGTCTGAATGTTTTTTAAACCTCAAAATCAAAATTGTGGTATTCATTATTGTATTAGACATTTTTTGTTTGCTATACAAAAGGATTTTTTAATTGCAATTGCGCTTGCCAAAAAGATTGAACAATACAGATGATATCGAATTCCTACATTTATACAGTTGTATACCATAAACATTGGAGTTACATTCCGATAAAGGTTTAATTCAAAGCATTTTGTTCCAAAACACTTTTGAAGTGTTAAATGATTATATAACACAAAATAGCGCTGCGTCTTAAAGCTATATATGCCTCCAGATGAGTCAAAATATTTCAATAAAATCAAACTTGACAAAAATGTACAAAGGTTTAAGGAAAAGTAAAAAGTTTCAAGATTCAAGTAATATTTTACATATTATGTGCGATAAATGACAGATTTTTCAACATTTACAACTATATTTTTACTGCGTTACTAACGCGGTAAAGGCTATTTATGCATATTTTGACCACATTTTGGTAATTTACCTGCTTTGTAAACGCCATTGATAATGTGTAAATTTCTTTCTTTTAGTAACTTCACAATATTACACATTCAAATACATTTTCATTTTGTTTTATGAAAATTAACATGAATCTGGAGGAAATCTTTATAGTGCGAAAACACCGACAATCTATGTTAACTTTGTTTAATAAACAAAACACATTCATTGAACAATTTACAAATGTATATATATGAAAGAATTCTTAAAAACATATATGATTATTATGAAAATACAAAATCATTTACCTTCTGCTATCCTCATTCAAGCCTATGATTACGTGTAATGTTAAACAGGACCTGCTTTATATTTGTTCCGCAAAGGTACTTAATTTTAGCGCATGATAAATTACTACGCGTGAAAATCAGGGTCGTACATTATTTTTGATGAAGTATTGGTTATTTTATCTTGGTGGTTTAAATTCCTGCTCTTAATCGTTTCCAATACCATTAATGTATGAACGCGTGTCTGGTTAAAGTTATTTGACAAATAATAAAAAATCAAACACAACTATTCAATCATGGACCAAACTCATTCAATTTGTGTGACGGCACAGTTTCTTCTCCATGTATCAAATACTAGCCCGCATTTTTTTGTTTTCTTTGATTTGCAATATAGACTTCAATTTGTGAAAACAGAGAAGTTGCAAGTGCCCATGTCTGTTGGGCACGGAATACCGTTAGGGCCATCGTGGTTACAACGCTAAAAACATAGAGCGCAATACGATAGTGCGACAGATGACGACAATTCGATAAAGAGATAGTACGATGACGATAGTGTTATCGCACTGTAGCCATAGCATTGTCTCATTGTCGCCATCGCACTGTCGCATCGTCGCCCTCTGGATTATAAAGTATAACAACCTTGGCCCTAACGGTATTCCGTTGTTAGATAACGGTGAACTTCGAAAGTTTGAAATTCAAAATTTTACCAGTTCATGTTAAATGTTGAATTCTGCTTAAGCCGGTGCAAGGGTGTGTTGACTTTACCCTTTAATTAATTACTGCTGACGTGCGTGAACATTTTCAATTTTGCGGTGTTGGGTTTTCTTTAGTGATTCTGTTTTTCTGTTATAGATAGTGGTGCCTATACAACGTAGTGCCAGATTTCAAAATGACTGGTTTTGAATTTAGCATTTGACATAATTATATAATTCTTGTCGTCGACTTACCATCAAATGTCCTCTAAATTTAAAGGGAGGCAGCGGTAAGAACTTGCAGGGTGTTAACGGGCTAGACAATTTACTCGCTGAGCATTACTTACTGTTTGCACACCATTCACAGCTCACCACTCACTTTTAGAACATTGTTAACCGAGATCTAAATACACAGTAAGCAATACTTAGAGGGATTACTACTCAAAAAATGAACAGTAAAAATGAGCTCTATTCGCAGAACATTATATCCCTTTTTAATGAGTATAACTCATTAACTGTTACTTTTTCTGTTGGAATAATTAAGTGAAAACTACTGACATGCTCATTTTTACTAACTAAATATTTCCTACACTATCAATTTTACTCACTAAGGATTACTTACATAAGACCGTTGGGGCATTTCAACTTCATGAATTCTCGATTTTATCTTTGTGAAATGACAAATTTGCGTTTTCAATATACGGAGCGACCGAATTAAACTTCGAGAATCCACGATTTAAACTTCACGAATTCACGATTTCAACCTTATGAATTCACGATTTCAACTTCAGGATTTTACGAATTACGAATGAAGGTGAAATCGTGCATTCATGAAGCTTAAATCATGAATTCACGAAGATGAAATTGTGAATTCTAGAAGATGAAACCGGGAATTAATGAAGTTGAAATGTCCCGGTCTTTCGTACATACTAGTATGTAATATATGTCGATAGACATTAATCACATTCAGATCGATAGATTAAACATCACTTTTTGAGCATGACTCAGTTTGAAAATATGACTCACTTTTCTCCTGTAACTTTTAGATTCTATTTATAACTGACTGACTGCTATACATTTTGAACATAAATTCAGCTTTTAAAACGAAAGCTTGTACCTGTTGTATCCTTTTATCCTTTTTCGTATCCTGAGTACAAAATGATTATGATAAATGACAAAATCGATTTTTTGCACTAGTCAATAGTTACCTTTGGCATAGCCCCAACCATTTATGTATAGCGTTTTTATCTGTTTATTTTGTGAAAAAGAATAAAGAAGTAACGTTATATATCAGTTGAAACTTAAAGCTACATACCTACAGATGACCCAAAATATTTCAAGAAAGTCAAACTTGAGAACATTTTTCTCTTAAATTCTAAGACAAAAAAATAAGATTAAAAATTCAAGTAATAATCTACTTAATATGTTGAATTAATGACTGATATTTTAGTATTTATCATCGTATTCCTACTGTGTGACTATCTTAGACATATTCAGCGATAAGTATGATGTTTCCTCTACATTAAGATATGGAAACACCTGTGTTTTGTCATGTTTGAATTATTGTTTCATCATTTAAGATGTATACATGGCGAAAAATAGCAATATGACTGGATTGAATAGATTCATTTTTAGAACCCAAGTCACGTGTATACCTATCATATATCAATTACTTTTAATATATTTCTCAATTCTTTAATTTCTTTGATTAATTGGTTTCATCAAATGTGGTTTGCCTTAAAAAAGAAGAAAAAAAAGAAGTAAAAAACGTCTTGAAAGTCTTTTCAGAAGAGTAAATGTTGCTAGTTTATATGTATGTTTGGACATATTTCTGAAAATATTTGCCAAGTGTAATCAAACTGTTTTAAACAAGTTCAAAACATAAAACGAGTTACAAAATTGTTCTGAATCGGCATCACTTATGCCAAATATCATATAGAAATAATAGGCTTCACTTGGTCTATGCAAAAATTCAAATTTTATGTTTATTAGCCTGTTTGACCTCACTGGAGCTCCTTTACGTATATTAACATTTTAAAATTGATTTTAATGTTCACCATAAATAGCAGTGTCTGATTTTGTCAATACTCTTAAAGGTAGGAACATTTTAAATACCAACTGGCCAAACACACACATGCTATTCAACCCTGGCTTTCTCTAGCTTTAGCAACTTCAATACAGTTTAAATTTTCTTTTTGAATGGAGAGTTTTTTTGAATGATAACCCGAATGTCAAATGATATTGAAGGCTTTGTTCTCCATTATACATTGTGCTATGTAGAATAACTTCATTGTGAATGTCTTTTATTATTGATTAGAAAGTTCTGTTTCCAAAGTAATAATATTGTTTATCAGCTCTTGCAAAGTTTAAAGTACATAATTTTATATAAATCTACAGAAATGTCTTCTGTAAAAGTCTGCCAATAAGACTTTAAGAGGAGCATGAAGTTACAAATTAGTATAGTTATTAAATATGGGCAATGAACTCGTTTCTTTAAGGTTTAGTAGCTCAACTACTGGCAACAATAATATATTTTGGTATATGCTTAGGAGTAATCCAACATAAAATCTAGTTAAATTTTCATTTCTTTTATTTAAGTTTTCAATCAATTAAACATCTGTTTCATTGCTCTCATTTAAAGTCTCCTTCACTGTTTCCTTCCTTTTCAGAGTAAAATTATTGAGCTTATCGCACCGGCTGCCGCACCAACGGCTGTTCCACCCGCACCGACACCAGCGGCTCCGATAGACTGACAGACTGCAATTAAAGATCCAGAAGCCACTGTCCCTCCATAGGTAGCCATCCAAGATGAAGCTACGCTTCCTGCAGCGATGCCAGCGGAAGTAAATCCAATGACACCAAGAGCTGCAGGTACACCAAATGAGGCCACTGCTCCTCCAGCAACTGTAAGTCCTATAGTAAGCATAAATTCAGCTTTTAGAACGAAAGCTTTGTGTACCTGTTGTATCCTTTTTCGTATCCTGAGCACAAAATAATTATGATAAATAACAAAATCGATATTTTGCACTAGTTAATAGTTACTTTTGGTATAGCCCCAACCATTCATGTATAGCGTTTTTATCTGTTTATTTTGTGAAAAAGAATAAAGAAGTAACGTTATACAGTAAACTTCGCTTATAGCGAACTCATTGGGACATTCATAATTTGTTCATTATATCCGAAGTTCCTTCTAAGCATAAAGCGAATTAAGTCCTTGTATAGCGAACAGATTAACATAACATAACGAACTGATTGTTTACCATCGTGCACCTTTGTGAAGAGCATTTGATTCACAAAGAAAAGATCATGCTCATGCAGGATCAAGTGATCCTGATTTTATTTTCATTGTTTTATGTTTCTAGAATTTAACGTGTTTTGCTAGACTTAAATGGTAAATATTCATAATATTAAAAATTGCTGATTTGCAGAGAAACCAAACTATTTACAAATAACAAATCAAATACATGTACAAAAATATTCGGATCAAAATAAGGATCAATTTTAGGATCAGGATCAATATTTGGTTCAACTGTAAAATAGCCGTATCATGTACAAATAACAATAAATTTATTCTAAAATTTCATTAATTTGCTAGTACAAGTCCAGTTTTATCAAATTAATATTAGATATTTAATCTATAAGGATAAAAAATGAAGAAAAATAGAGCTTTTAAATTTGATCCTAATCCTTTAATATTTGTAAACACGGGTCCTGGGCTTTTCGTTTTCCTTCCATGATTAAGAATAAACAAGATTTTCGATTTTTCATTCCTTTCATATTGAATATCTTCTTTTATATTTTAAGGGTGACTTTAACCACGGATTTATAATATAAATCCGTGCTTTAACTGATAAATTATGTAGATTTCTTTCCATTTTAATCGAGCCTTCTTTAAAGTTTTCAATGGAGTATGCTTGCAAGCATGCTGATTATGTTAAAATTACGGATTATAAGTTATCATAATTATTCTACTCGAGCAGAAATATTTAAGAAAAAATAAATAAAAGAATTAAAGGAATAACCGTTTTATTTTGGTGAAAAGAACTCATGCTAAAATATCCTAAATAGAAAACTATTACGTACTTTTTTACTAATTAATTTTCATAGATGTATTGAAGTTCATTCAACAATAAACGGTAAATTCGGCCGCCAATGAAAACGAAACATGCGGGTTCTATTTACGGATAGCCTGTATTTTGGAGTTCGTTATAAAAGTGTAATTTTCTGTACTTTTAACCAAATTGGGACTAAGAAATGAGTTCCTTATAAGCGATAATTCCTTATAACCGTGTTCGCAATAACCGTATATTTTTATATTAAATAAAGAAGGGCAAAATTCGGGCCAAAATAAACTGTTCCTTATAACCGGAAGTTCGCTATATCCGTGTTCGCTATAAGTGAAGTCTACTGTATATCAGTTGAAACTTAAAGCTACATACCTGCAGATGAATCAAAATATTTCAAGAAAGTCAACCTTGACAATATTTTTCTAAGATTTTAAGGAAAAAAAAAGATTCAAATTTTCAAATAATAATCTACATGTTGTATCTGATTAATGACTGATATTTCAGTATTGCTACTGCGTGACTAACTAAGGCACATTCAACAATACAATAAGTATGATGGTTCCTCTAAAATAAGGATAAACCTGTGTTTTGTCATGATTTATACAATAGTAAATCACGACAGATGCCTACGTGGCGAAAATAGCAATAGGTGTGAATAGATTTGTCTTTAGAACTCAAGTCACGCATATTTCTATCATATATCAATTACTTGTAATATATTTCTCAATTTCTCAATTCTTTAATTTCTTAAATTTATTGGTTTCATCAAATGTGGTTTGCCTTAAAAAAAGAAGAAAAGAAAAACGTTTTGAAAGTCTTTTTTGAAGAGTAAATGTTGCTAGTTTATATGTATGTTTGGACATATTTCTGAAAATCATTTGTCAAATATAATCAAACTGTTTTAAATAAGTTTAAAACATGATACGAGTTACAAAATTGTGCTGAATCGGCATCATTTATGCCAAATACCATATAGATATAATAGGCTTCACTTGGTCTATGTAAAAAGTCAAAGTTTATTAGCCTATTTGACCTCACTGGAGCTCCTTTACGTATTTTAAAATATAACAAGAACTGTCGGAGGACAGTAACGCTCGACTATTCGAAAATTTGTCACAAGGGTGTTTCATTGAGTATAATAATGGTTACCTATATGAATACATAAAATTGTCCGAAAAGGTACAAACCCTTCAAGTTTCAATATATTCCCTTCAGTAGGTATGGAGATACAAGCTTACACACTAAAACTTAACCAAGAATTTATGAATCGAAAAAGGGGCATAATTATGCGAAAAGGTAAATCAAAGTTATGGGACTTGTGCCAATCATCTTAGATAATCACAGACAACAAGAGTGTGAAGTTTCAATCCATTCCCTTCAGTAGTTATGGAGATACCAGCTTACACACAAAAACTTAACCAAGAATTTCTAAGTCAAAAAAGGGGCATAATTGTGCAAAAAAGCAAATCAGAGTTATGGGACTTGTGCCAATCATCTAAGATAATCACAGAGAACAAGTGTGTGAAGTTTCAATCCATTCCCTTCAGTAGTTATGGAGATACCAGCTTACACGCAAAAACTTAACCAAGAATTTCTAAGTCGAAAAAGGGGCATAATTATGTAAAAAAGCAAATCAGAGTTATAGGACTTGTGCCAATCATCTGAGATAATCACAGAGAACAAGTGTGTGAAGTTTCAATCCATTCCCTTCAGTAGTTATGGAGATACCAGCTTACATACAAAAACTTAACCAAGAATTTCTAAGTAAAAAAAGGGGCATAATTATGTAAAAAAGCAAATCAGAGTTATGGGACTTGTGCCAATCATCTTAGATAATCACAGAGAACAAGTGTGTGAAGTTTCAATCCATTCCCTTCAGTAGTTATGGAGATACCAGCTTACACGCAAAAACTTAACCAAGAATTTCTAAGTCAAAAAAGGGGCATAATTATGTAAAAAAGCAAATCAGAGTTATGGGACTTGTGCCAATCATCTTAGATAATCACAGAGAACAAGTGTTTGAAGTTTCAATCCATTCCCTTCAGTAGTTATGGAGATACCAGCTTTCATACAAAAACTTAACCAAGAATTTCTAAGTCGAAAAAGGGGCATAATTATGAAAAAAAGCAAATCAGAGTTATGGGACTTGTGCCAATCATCTTAGATAATCACAGAGAACAAGTGTGTGAAGTTTCAATCCATTCCCTTCAGTAGTTATGGAGATACCAGCTTACATACAAAAACTTAACCACAGGGACGCCGATGCCGACGCCGACAAATGGGTGACAGCATTAGCTCGATTATTCTGCGAATAGTCGAGCTAAAAATTGATTTTAATGCCCACCATAAATAGCAGTGTCTGATTTTGTCAATACTCTTAAAGGTAGGAACATTTTAAATACCAACTGGCCAAACACACCCATGCTATTCAACCCTGGCTTTCTCTTGCTTTAGCAACTTCAATACAGTTTAACTTTTCTTTTTGAATGAAGAGTTTTTTTGAATGATAACCCGAATGTCAAATGATATTGAAGGCTTTGTAACGCGTTTCCTCGTTTTCCATTATACATTGTGCTATGTAGAATAACTTCATTGTGAATGTCTTATATTATTGATTAGAAAGTTCTGTTTCCAATGTAACAATATTGTTTATCAGCTCTTGCAAAGTTTAAAGTACATAATTTTATATAAATCTACAGAAATGTCTTCTGTAAAAATCTGCCAATAAGACTTTAAGAGGAGCATGAAGTTACAAATTAGTATAGTTATTAAATATGGGCAATAAACTCGTTTCTTTAAGGTTCAGTAGCTCATCTAATGGCAACAATAATATATTTTGGTATATGCTTGGAAGTAATCCAACATAAAATCTGGTTACATTTTCATTTCTTTTATTTAAACTTTCAATCAATTAAACATCTGTTTCAATGTTCTCATTTAAAGTCTCCTTCAGTGTTTCCTTCCATTTCAGAGTAAAATTATTGAAGTTATCGCACCGATTGCCGCACCAGCGGCTGTTCCACCCGCACCGACACCAGCAGCTCCGATAGATTGGCAGACTGCAATTAAAGATCCAGAAGCCACTGTCCCTCCATAGGTAGCCATCCAAGATGAAGCTACGCTTCCTGCAGCGATGCCAGCGGAAGTAAATCCAAGGACGCCAAGAGCTGCAGGAGCACCAAATGTAGCCACTGCTCCTCCAGCAACTGTGAGTCCTATAGTAAGCAAACCCTGGACGAGAAAGGAAAATAAAAAATGAGGTTTGCTATCTCATAAGAAATGTATACTTTAGTACTTTATTAGTAAACGAACGTTCTATTCAGGTGGCCGGTCAAGTATGAAATAGTGCACGAAATGACGTCAGTAAAGCTGGAAAGTCGTCAAATAACCTTAACTGTTAAGTGCGACGTTAAAATAAAGGAAATAAGCATTATATGATTTAGTACCATGTAAATTGTACTAGATGATTCAACATTTACATAAGCTAGTATAAAGAATTGTTCTATTATATTAGGGTGTACATAGCTATATATCTGCTGCAATTTTTTTTTCGAATTTAAAAAAAAAGAAAATACATCCAAATTGCTTGGATGAGTATATTTTCTTGAACATTTTATTCCGCTTAATTTGTTAACTTTTCATGTGTGTTAAATAACATAGACAGTCTATCGAGAATATATCGTAAGATAATGAAAAAAAAATCATTATACTGTTTATAAGATCGCATGTACGATATACAGATGTATATAAATATAGCTTTATACGCTTTTAACAGAACTATATTAAAATTAGTATAATAGAATTTATATAAACTAGTACTTTATAAAAATAAATTTTATATGCATCAGTATTAAATAAATAGATACTATAAATATAAATACTATATAAATTAGAATTATGTATAAATATAATATACATTGGTATCATATAAAAATCTGGTAGCATTAATCACAACAAAGTTACATGAAAATTGCAGACTCGGTCTGTACATTAGGGATAATGAAAAAGTGCAACATCCCTCCCGCCCCTTAGCACCAGCTTGAACGGTACACAATTTTCAATACTTAGAAGTGCTGGACTCAATGATCCCGAAGGACCAGAAAAATGTAACAACACTGAAGTGAAGTATGGGGCAACTTTTTACAGCTGCCACACAACACTTGGCACCTGCTGTTATGAAGTATAAATAATCTGGAAAAGTGTGATCCCTCGGAAGCATTAATCACAACAAAATGCCATTACAAACATGCTTCTCAAATCAAATACGAAGTGTAAATCAGTTATTACTAATAAATAACAAATTCTGACCATTTGAAATCGATACAGAGAAATTTTATAGATTTCTAATGATTTGAAAGAAATATAATCAACTTTTGACCGTCATTTTTCAATTATAATTGGCAATCCTAAAGCTGTCTTGAATTACAACGTTCATCCGTAGAAATTATTGAGAACACATTCTTAGGTCGAATACTAGTAAAATAATACAAATACTCTATATTAAGGCTTTTAAGTGAGAAGTATGAAATTAAATACTAGGTAGAACTCAAATAACAGATATCAAGGTAAGTAACTTAACTTTCTAAATTGTTGAAACGATGTACTTGTTTTTAATCAATTCCGAGAATCACTTCATTTTAAACTAAGTGTGCAAATTTTAAAGGAAAAAGAATATTGCTCACCATGTTTAAAGATTTAGCTCGAAAATTCGGCACTTTCTTGTAAAAAATATTCTGAAAATTACAACAATAACATATTAATGAAAAAATAAACAACAAAAAACACCACCACCGACAACAACATTATCATAATTAGCATCAGCAGCAGCAACAACGAAGGCGACAACGATGATATTAACAACAAAACAACAACACAACAGCAACATTGTCTAATATCTGTTGTCTTATTGTTATCACCTTGGTGTGATACAATGTATGAATATTTATAACTGCCTAGTGTCTAATCATTTTGTCTGTAATAAAGTACAAATGTAACAAAATTTGGTAATGCTTTATGCATGTTAGCTAGGCCTTTAGCTAGGCTTTTAGCTGTCAGTGATAGATATGGGAATAAATACTCTAATGTTGTACATTATAAGATTATATTATGATGAAAATGAATGTGCGTATCTCTTTCAATTATCAAATGACATATTAGTAATCTTTAAATATAGAAACTGGATTTTAACATGCACTTTAAAATCATCGGTAACGTATATTATGTTTATGTATGTAGATAACAGATAAGAGATTGTGGAAATCGATATAATGATTGACCTTTTTATTGACGCATTAAACAAACATAGCGTTAAGACGCGCTAAATGTTAGCGCTATACTACAGGCGCGTCGATAAAAAATGTTTCTTTATCACTTCAAACGGTTTTTATTTTTGGTTTAATAGAATATTAAATTTGTGTTAGTTCATTACTAAATTAATTGAACTCATTGAATAAAATAATATTATGCTCGCCAGAGGCTCGCATACTATAATTTTATTCAACTCGTTCAATAAATTCAGTATTAAACTTACACTTATTCAATATCTGCAGGCTGTAATGCTCGACAAAAAGATGCATTAGCGCTTCTCTTGCATACAATTATACATAAATAAATAAATTAATAAATAAAAAAATATATATAAATAAATAAATAAATAAATAAGTCTGGGCGGGCATAAAGACCTGATTCTGGGAATTTAAGACCTTTATGCTTATGGCGGTCATAAAAATTTGCCGGAAGCACCTTTTTGTGTTATAGTATTTACGGTTTAGGGTATTTACAGTGCAGCCGTACTCTTTGTGTATAGTATTTACAGCTAAGAATATTTACAGTAAGCTAACAGTGTAACCCATGTCTATATTTGGATATAATTGCACATGTGCACTCACTCTTTTCGTTGAGCGCGTGGCTTTCATTCCTGTACAACTTTTGATAGTTTCACATGGAAAATTTGGTTTTCATTTTTATGTATGTAGATAAGAGATTGTGGAAATCGATATTTTGCTTGACCTTCAGTACACCATGTTTGCAGATTTATGACGCCGGATTTTCGATTTTTTTTCAACGTATAAATCAACATTTGTGCTCTTAAGATCTTAAGACCCACAGATTGCGACACGTATTGCCGGTCATGTACCGAATTTAAAAAATCTTTTTTCAGTATATTTATAACTCTTGGTATTATTCGAGTGTACGGCCTCTACGAATAAAATATCAATTCAATTTCGCACGATATGCTTGTGCGAGAATCGGCCAAATCTGTCGGCATAATTTTCAACAAGAGCCATGTCAACATGGCCATCCCCCGCCGAATGTGTTTGCTCATTGGAAGAATGTATATGTAGTAGAGCGGAATAATTCCATTTTGGTTTAAACATATTTATTTAAGCTCGATTGCGAAACAAGTTCTTGCAACTTATATTAATCACTTTCGAGTCTGCTTCCTGGAACCAACCAGTACGGTGTCATATGAAGAAACATGGTCGTGACCCGAGTAGGGCTCGAACCCATGATCTCTGGGTTGAGAGGCAGACACCTTAACCATTAGGCCACCGCTCCCATCCCAATTCCATTTTAAGAGGTCTTTTGGTAATGAAAACTGATGGCTATAGTGATTACAGATTTGAAACCTATGTGAATACTGATGGCTGAAAATAACAAAGGGCAATTACTGAATAATAATGCAGGGTAGGTTATCATTCTTGTGTGCTGCATCCCTCCTCAGTAAAATCTATCCACCTGTGAAGTTTCAAGTTGATACCTCAAATACTTTTTGAGAAAAAAAATTGAATTGAAAAATTAAGTATGAAAAAGAACAAAGGGCAGTAACTCAAAAATTATAAAAGGTAGAGTTATCATTCTTGTGCAGTGCACACCTCCTGAGTGAAATCTATGCACCTATGAAGTTTCATTTTGATATCTCAAAGGCTTTTTGAGTTATGCTCTGGACAAAAATTAATTTTGAAAAATAACAAAGGGCAATAACTCAAAAATAATGCAGGGTAGAGTTATCATTCTTAAGCACTGCACTCCTCCTCAATGAGATCCATCCACCTTTGAAGTTTCAAGTTGATACCTCAAATACTTTTTGAGATAAGCTCTGGACAAAATAGCATAAAAAAAAACAAAGGGCAATAACTCAAAAATTGTATAGGGAAGAGTTATCATTCTTGCGCACAACATTCCTCCTCAATAAGATCTATCCACCTATGACATTTCATGTTGATATCTCAAACACTTTTTGAGTTATGCTCCACTCAGGTGAAAAATTAGGTATGAAAAATAACAAAGGGCAATAACTCAAAAATTATGAAAGGTAGAGTTATCATTCTTGTGCACTGCACACCTCCTGAGTGAGATCTATGCACCTATGAAGTTTCATGTTAATATCTCATAGGCTTTTGGAGTTATGCTCTGGACAAAAATCAATTTTGAAAAAAAACAAAGGGCAATAACTCAAAAATTGTATAGGGAAGAGTTATCATTCTTGCGCACAACATTCCTCCTCAATAAGATCTATCCACCTATGACATTTCATGTTGATATCTCAAACACTTTTTGAGTTATGCTCCACTCAGGTGAAAAATTAGGTATGAAAAATAACAAAGGGCAATAACTCAAAAATTATGAAAGGTAGAGTTATCATTCTTGTGCACTGCACACCTCCTGAGTGAGATCTATGCACCTATGAAGTTTCATGTTAATATCTCATAGGCTTTTGGAGTTATGCTCTGGACAAAAATCAATTTTGAAAAATAACAAAGGGCAATAACTCAAAAATCATGCAAGGTAGAGTTATCATTCTTGTGCACTGCACTCCTCCTCAATGAGGTCTATCCACCTATGAAGTTTCAAGTTGATAACTCAAATACTTTTAGAGATATGCTCCGGACAAAAATGTCGGACGGAAGGACGGACGGATGGACGGACGGAAGGACGGAAGGTCGGACGGTCGGAGACTATTTCTATATCCTCCGCCGAAATTTTTCGCGCGGGGGATAATAAAGCACTTTATCAAATACCCGTACCGATTTGCGACTCCCAAAAACTGGTATTGCACGGCCGTGCATATATTTTGACGTGACGTCATTTGCGTTATACAAACATAACGTTAAGACGCGCTAAATGTTAGCGTTATACTACAGGCGTGTCAATAAAAACGGTCTTTATCACTTCAAACGGTCTTTATTTTTGGTATGTGATAACTAGAATATTAAATTCGTGTAAGTTTATTACTAAATTTATTGAACTCGTGGAATAAATTAATATTATGCTCGCCAGATAAATAAATAGATAAATAAACAAATGCGTCCATACATACTTTCTTGAACGTGTAATTAACATACCATTAAAACTGATGTGTAACGGTAAATTAGCTTGACTTTAATGCATTTTTCACAGTAACTATATACATGAACATGTATTCACTTACGAAATTCAGGCGAATATTAAAAATCGGGTTTGATGTGTCAACAGTATTCAATACTTGCATAATTATTATTCAATTTTTGACCATTTGAACATTGACAAATTTGCATTAATAATATACATCTGTATATCGTACATGCGATCTTATATAAAACTTATAATTGGATATTAATTTTAATCTTATGATGCAATTTTGTCAAATTTCACTTTTTAATTAACACCCATAACGACAAGCAAACCTAAATCATCGAACAATATAAATACGCATTTACGCATAAGAATTAAAAAAATATATATGTAATTTTGTAGCAAAATACAAAATAATTTACCTTGAGATATTCTTATTCTAGCCTTTGATTACGTGTAATGTTTACAAGTCCTCGCTTTGTGTCAGGCTATCGTATTGTAACGTTGCCAGCGATTGGCTGAAAAAAGTACAGGAAACCCGTAAGATTCAACGAGACATGAGGTGATTGGATAAAAAATTGAATGTTCTTTAAGTATGAAAGACAAGTAATGTAGTATCTAAGAACAGAAACTGTTTTTACTCTTCAATGATAGTTAATTAGCAGTTATTCCCCTTATTCCAGCAGGTTGAGCCGTAATTATCAATTCAAAACCAATAGTATCGAGAGAAAATGTAATATTGCACAAATGTGTTTTATGGTAAATATATGGTTAATATTTTCCAACAGAACCAAAACATAGAGTAGTCACTGATCAACTTTACTGCTATGAAACATATTTACAAGTTAAGAGCACGTATCCATTAAATTGTGTAAGAAGGTTTTTCTAAGGTTTTTTCCCTAAGCCCTAACCAAGAAAATGTTCGGATGATTTTCGGGTAGCACGGTGGTTTAAGGACCGGCGATTTGTTCTTTCTGTCTATAAATTGTATAAATTTTCATTAAAAGACCCGTTTTCTCGTGCCAACCGTTCAAACACCATATTTCTGAATCCGTTGCGAATTCGTTTTTTTTCATTAGTTTTAATGGTTTTCTTTACAACATTTTCAGGGCGGAAGCTCTTACCCAACTACATTGTTCGGGAATGTTCTGGTCATTTTTCCTTTTCTAACCTGCTTTTTCTTTTTTTCGGTATAAATCCTTTGATAGACTAAAAAATCCGAAAGCAATATTATCTAAATAATACCCTTCTAAAACTGAGATCTATATAACTAAGAATAATGACGAAACAGTAGCCTTTCAACGTTATGAAAATGAGATTTAGTGGTGACAAACAAATCCCCGCTTTAGAGCACATTCTTACAGGAAGTTACGTCATGCACAATTATCCATAATAAAATGAATGCTTAACTGTATTTCCTGAGTTTAATTGAGATAAGTAGGCCTTAGAGGCCTATCGCCGTGGGTTGTGCGATTAACCGTATTCCCTGAGGCTATGTCCGTAGGTGTTATTGCGATAAGAACCATCACCGTAGGTTGTGTGAGCTTTACTATATCCCTGAGGCTATCAACGTGGGTTTTATTGCGATGAGAAATCTCTAAAAGGCAAATCACCGTGAGTTGTGTGAGCTTAACCGTATTCCCAGAGTCTATCTCCATGCGTTTAATTGCGATAAGAGCCCTCTGAAAAGGCCTATCACCGTGGGTTGTAAGAGCTTTACCGTATTCCTGTGGCTATCAAACGTGGGTTGTATTGCGATAAGAACCCGCTTAAAGGCCCGTCAAAGGCATTGTGTTAGTTTTACTGTATGCCCGTGGGTTTATTGCGCTACGCATCCTCTTAAAGGCATTTCACCGTGGGTTGTGTGGCCTTTACTGTATTCCATGAGGCTATTTCCGTGGGTTTATTGCGATAAGAACCCTCTCAAAGGCGTATCACCGTGGGTTGTTAGGGCTTTACTATATATAGGACGCTATACTCACCGTGCGTTTTAAATATGGCAATAAACACCCTCTAAACGGCGTATCACACCTTGGTTTGTTTGAGGTCTATTTTATTCCCTGAGGCTATGTCCGTGTGTTTTATTGCGATAAGAATTATCTTAAAGGCCTATCACGTGTGTTGTGCGAGCTTCATTGTATTTCCGAGTCTATAACCGTTGGTTTTATTGCAATAAGGTCCCTGTAAAAGGCGTATCACCTTGGGCTGCGTGAGCTTTACTGTATACCCTCAGACTATCCCCTACCGGTTTTATTGTGATAAGAAATATCTTAAAGGCCTATCACCGTGGGATGTGTGAGTTTTACTGTATTCAAAGAGGCTATCACCGTGGGTTTCATTGCGATAAGAATACACAAGCGTATCACAATGTGTTGTGTGAGCTTTACTGTATTCCGGTGGCTATCATAGTGGGTTTTATTGCAAAAAGAACCCTCTAAAAGGTCTATCACTGTGGGTTGTGTGAACTTTACTGTATACCCTTAGACTATCACCGTGGGATTTATTGCGATAAGAACCCTCTAAAATGCCTATCACCATGAGTTGTGTGAGCTTTAACGTATTCCAAGAGCTTATCGCATGGAGATGTCCTGCGATAAAAAACATCGCAAAGAGATATCACCGTAGGTCGTGTGAATTTTACTGTTCCCTGAGGCTATCACCGTGGGTTTTATTGAGATACTAGGAACTATCTAAATGGCCAATCAATGATGTTTGTGTGAGATTGACTGTATTCAATGAAGCTATTTCCGTGGGAATTACTGCGATAAGAACCCTTTAAAATGTGTACCACCGTGAGTTGTGTGAGCTTTACTATATTCCTGAGGCTGTCACCGTGGGTTTTATTGTGATATGAGTCCTCTAAAAGGCTTATCATCGTGGGTTGTGTGAGCTTTATCTTATTTCAATAAACTATCTTCTCTGTGTTTTATTGCGATAAGAAACGACTCAAAAGCCTATCACGTGAGTTTTGTGAGCCTTACTGTATTCCATGAGGCTATCACCTTGGGTTTAATTGCGATACAAACCCTCTAAAAGACTTGTCATCGTGGGTTGTTTGAGCTTAACGGTATTTCAAAAGTCTATCTTCATGGGTTTTATTGCGATAAGAACCATTTAAAAGGCCTATCACCGGGGGTTTATGAGATTTACCATATTCTCGAGGCTGTCACCGTATGTTTTATTGCGATTAGAACTTAGAACCCTCTAAAAGGCCTATCACCGTGGGTTGTGTGAGTTTTACTGTATTCCTGAAGCTATCAAAGTGGTTTGTATTGCGATTAGAATCCTCTTAAAGGCCTATCACCGGCATCGTGTTAGCTTTACTGTATTCCCTGAGGATATGTCCGTGGGTTTATTGCACTACGCACTGTCTTTAGGCCTATCACCGTGGGTTGTGTGAGCTTAACTGTATTCTCTGAGGCTATTACCGTTGGTTTTATATCGATAAGAACCCTTTCAAAGGCGTATCACTTTGGGTTGTGTGAGCTTTATTGTATACCCTGAGGCTACCTCCTTGGGCTTTATTGCTATAAGAATCCTCTAAAAGGCCAATTACCGTGGGTTGTATGAGCTTTACTGTTTCTTGAGACTTTTACCGTAGATAATATTGCGATAAGAACCCTCAAACAGGCCTATCACAGTGGGGCATTTGAGCTTTACTGTACTATCTGAGTCAATCTCCGTGGGGTTGCTTGTGAAAAGAACCCTCTAAAAGGCGTATCACCGTGGGTTGTGTGAGCTTAACCTTATTCCCAGAGGCTATCACCGTGTTTGTCATTGTGATAAGAGCCCTCTAAAAGGCCGAAACTATCTTCGTGTGTTTTATTGCTATAAGAACCCACTCAAAAGCTTATCTCGTTATTATGTGAGCCTTTCTTTATTCCATGAGGCTAGCACCCTTGGTTTTAATGCGACAACAACCCTCTTAAAGGCCTATCACCGTGGGTTTCGTGAGCTTTACTTTATTCCATGAGGCTATCGACGGTAATAGGCCTTAAATAAAGTAATGTCACACAACCCACGTGATAGGCCTTAAAGAGGGTTCTTATCGCAATAATACCCATTGTGATAGACTAATGGAATAAAGGAAAGCTCACACAACCCAGGGTGATAGGCCTTTAACAGGGTTTTTATCGCAAAAAATCCTATTGTGGTAGCCTCATTTTTGAATCAAGAAACATTCATAAATTTGTTTGCTTTAGAATTTTATATATCAGCATATTTTGTCATTTCTTCTGTTTCTTAAATGCTTTTAAATCTAAGCTTACTTCTTAGAGTAATTTAAACTGAGATACAAAACAATTACTGTTTAATAAATATGTTTATCACACACCCGCTTGTGCGGTATTAACTCGTCCGATAACTTCAGTATTGAACAATAACTTTTCTACGTATTCTCCAATATCAAATGATTAGCTAATTGGGGTTATGAGGCTTATTTACACGATTTTCGTAGTTGTTCGTAAGATTATATGATATAACAATATTGTGTATACGTTGCTGATTGTAAAGTTCTGTTATAATTGAACAAATATTTGATTACCGCTTGTTTAAGATTAAGCTGCATATATTTAATATTGAATGATGTTATATGTGATATCACGAGTACAATACTCGATAAGCAGAACAATTATCTAGTCTTAAGTATCCATGTGTGTGTGCGAGATAAAATATATATATATATATTTGTATACCTGCGTGCGCAGTTTTTATGCAATAGTCAATAATAACAAACTGGCAAGCCTGTATTCAATAGGAACAGAACTATGTACGTTATACAACGTTGCATGTACTGTATTGTGTGTAATATATTTGATATTAATTCTTATTTGTTTGACAATATGTTGCACGTATTGACATGTGGTTGGAAGAAGATATATATATTTCTTTGAGCGGTTACGGTTACTATTTGTCTTAATGTTTTTAAAACTTCAAGATCACAATTGTGATATTCATAATTGTATTGAACATTTTTGTTCAAATATTTGTTTGCTATACAAAAGGATAATTGTCAAAACCCGTCAGCAGTTGCGCTTGCCAAAAAAAAAAAAAAAAAAAATTGTAAAGACTGAACGATACAGATAATATCGTATCCCTAATTTATACTGTTTTTAAACGTGATATTGAATTGCAAGTTTGTCTTAAAGGTAGTGAAATCTTGAAAGTGCGGTATTCTAACTTCCTTTCAATGTACTAAATCATAATAAATATAACTGTACCAAATTCCTATACGCAAATGAGGCAAAAGATGGTCTATTTATTTGATGATTTATTTGGTCAATGAGAAACGTATTTGAAACATAAACCGGATATTTAAATATGTTTTGAGAAAGAAAAGTATTATCATTATTTTGGCTTAATGGGCTTTTAAAAATTGGATTTGAAATGTGAACAATATAAAATTATTTTCACCCTTCTTAATGTAAATTTTGACCATTTGAAAATTGAAAAAACAAACAAAAACAAAACAAAAACATATTTATACCTTTGTATATCGGACATGTTACATAATATTAAACTAAAAATTTCTATAATTAATGCAAATATTAAGGTATTTACACTAAGTTGTCAAATCACACATACGAGTATATAATTTAAAAAAATACAATATGTATCAAAATACAAAATCATTTACCTACCTTGCGATACCCTTATTTAAACCTTTGTTTACGTGTAATGTTTAAATGTACCTGCTTTATATTTGTTCTGCAAAGGTAGTAAATTTCAGCCAAAGATAAAATATTACGCGTAATTTTTTATAAAGTATCAGTAATTTTTTCTTGGCGGTTTAAAGTTTTGCAATAAGGTATGAAAATGTTTCTGGATTTGTAATTGCATTAACGTTATATATCCTAAAAATTAGGACAAATAACAAAAACAATTACATTTCTGAATCACCCGGCTATTATTTATAATAACCTCGGACTTCTTACAGATTGAAAGTAGTTCTGCCAGTCTGAGATGTAAACAAAAACCAAGGTCTTCCATTTTGTAAGACCCTGACAAAAACAGAGCGTATAATAATTTATAATGTAAAACGAATGTATATATTTGACATACATAGTAAAATAAAGTCTATTTCGGTAAATTTATCCTGTAGCCTGAAAGTCATTATCAATTGAAAAATGCCCATTAACATATTCGAACTAATGTCAAATGGTAGAAATTTTGTACTTTCAGTTTCTACAACCATAATTACAAGTTTATAATTATGTACTGTTCACTTTAATATATTTTTTTGTTCGAGGTCTATCGGAAAGGGCCGAGAAGTTGCGATTGCTATTCACTCATGAACCAATTTCATTGACTAAATAATATATTTTTGAAATCTTTTAACAAATCTATAAGTGAATATGCATCACCTCAAGTGAAATGGAACAATCCATGTGATATTAAATATATCAAGTAGCAGCCCATATTGTTTTGTTTTCTATAATTTATTTTTGTGAAACAGAGAAGTTACAAGTGCTTTTGTCTGATAGATAGCTGTTATATGTGGATGATACAAAATTCAAATTTTTACCAGTTCATGTTTTATGTTGAAATCATTTTCAGCTGATGCTGTGGGGGAGGGGTTGATGGAAGCTCTCTCCGTAGGGTTTTATTGCGATAAAAACACTTTAAAAGGCCCATCACCGTAGATTGTGTGGGCTTAACTTTATCCTTGAGGCTATCTTCTAGAGTTTTATTGATATAAGGACCCTTTAAAAGGGCTATCACCGTATTTTCTTTGAGCCTTTCTGTATTACTGAGGGTATCTTTGTGGGTTTTATAGCGATAAGAAGCCTCTAAAAGGCCTAATACCGGGGTTGTGTGAGCTTTTCTGTTTTCCCGAGGCTACCACCATAGGATTTATTGCGATAAGAAATCTCTAAGAGCCCTTTCACAGGGGATTTTGTTGCTTTACTGTATTTCCTGAGGCAATGTCCGTTACACGAACCCTCTTAATTGCCTATCAGGGCGAGTTTTGTCAGCTTTACTGCATTTTGGATATTTTGCGATAGGAACCATCCAAAACACCGTGAGTTTCTATGTATTCCATGAGACTATCACCGTGTGTTTCTCATAGGCTATCTTTGTGATTTAATTGCAATAACAACCCTCTCAAAGACCATAGCCGATGGTTGTGTGAGCTTTACCGTATTCCATGAGGCTATGTCCGTGGGTTAACTTGTGATAAGAAAATTCTAAAAGGCATATCACCTTGGGTTGTGTCAGCTTAACCGTATTCCAAATGGGTATTTTTGTGGGTTTTATGCGATAAGAATCCTCTAAAAGGCCTATCATCGTGGGTTGTATGAGCTTTAATATATTCCCGAGGCTTAACCGTTGAGATTGTTGCGAAAAGAATCATCCAAAAACGCCTTTTACCAAGGGTTGTGTGAGTTATACAGTAATCTGTTTGATTATGTACGTGGGTTATCTTGAGATAAGAAAACTCAAAAAGGCGTATCACCGTGGGTTAAGTGAACTTTAGCGAATTCAAAAAGGTTATCACCTTGGGTTTTGTTGCGATAAGAACCCTCTAAAAAGCCTTATACCTTGGATTGTGTGAGCTTTAGCGTATTTATGAGGCTATCATCGTAGGTTTTATTGCGATATTAAATCTCTAAAAGACCAGGGTTTATTTTAGCTTTACTGTATTCCCTGAGGCAATGTCCATGGGTTTTATTACGAAACAAAGTCTCTACATGGCCGATCTGCGTAAGTTATGTGAGCTTTACTGTATTTTGAAGGATATAAAAGTCGAATTCATTGTAATAGGTACCCTCCAAAGGGCGTATAACCGAGGGTTGTGTGACCTTCTCTGTGTTCCCAGAGGCTATCATCATGGGATTTGTTGCGATAAGATTTTTTTGCCATAAGAATACTCTAAAAGGGCTGTCATTCTGGGTAATGTGAGCCTTGATGCATTCCTGAGGCTATCAATATGTTTTTTTAAAACTATTATCATAGTACTTAACTGTATTTCAGAGGCTGTCTCTTAGGGTTTAAAAGCGAAACAAACCCTCCAAAATACGTATCACTTTGGGTTGTGTGAGCTAAACTGTATTCCCTGAGGCTCTCATCGAGGCTGTTTTCGCGATAAGATTTCTTCAAAAGACCTATGACTGTGGGTTGTGTGAGTTTTAGGAACTCATCAAAAGACCTATCATCGTCGGTTGCATGCGCTTTACTGTATTCATGAGGCTATCAACATGGATTTAATTGTAATAAGTACCCTCTAACGGACTATCACCGTGTGTTCTGTGAGCTTTACTGTCTTCCTGTGGTCATCAGAGTGTGTTTTATCCCGATAACAAAGCTCTAAAGCCTTATCACCATGGGTTATGGGATCTTTACTGTATTCCCAGAAGCTATCTAGGTGGGATTAAATGCGATAAGAACACTTTTGAAGGCCTATCACCGGTGTTTTGTGAGCTTTACCGTATTTCAGAGGCTATCACCGTAGGTTTTATTTATTATGTGTTAGCTTTACTGTACTCCCTGAGGCAATTTCCGTGTTTTTTCAATTAGAAACGAAACCTCTAAAAGGCCTGTCAGCGTGTGTTTTGTGAGTTTTTCTGAAATCCCCGAGGCTATCACCGTGGGGATTGTTGCGGTAAGAAAGCTTTAAAAGACATATCACCGTAGGATGTGTGAACTTTACTTTATTCTTTGAGGGTATATCCGTGTGGTTTTGTTTGCGATAAGAACACTCTAAAATGCCTATCACAGCTAGTTGTGTGATCATAGCTGTATTCCATGAGGATAGGCCTTTAGTCTTTTTAGCGACGAGAACACTCTAAAAGGCCTAACAACATGGGTTGTGTGAGCTTAACTGTATTCCCTGAGGCCATCAACGTGAATTTCATAGCGATAAGATTTCTCTAAATGACATGAGTTTAACCGTATTCAAAAAAGCTATATTCGTGGAATTTATTGCGATAAGACCCCTCTAAAAGGCCTATCACCGTTTGTTGTGTGAGATTAACTGTATTCCTGAGGCTATCTTGGTCGGTTTATCGTGGTAAAAAAACCCCTCTAAACCGTGGGTTGTGTGTGCTTTACCGTCTTCAGAGAAGCTCTCTCCGTGTGTTTTATTGCGATAAGAACCCTCTAAAATGCCAATATCTGTGGGTTTGGTGAGCTTTACTGTGCTCCTGAGGCTATCTCCGTGAAATTTATTGCGATAATATCCCTCTAAAAGGCTTGTCAGTGTGGATTGTTTGAGCTCTACTGTATTCCTTAGGATTGTAGATTGTTTGCTATAAAAACCCTCCAAAAAGCCTATCATCGGAGGTTGTGTAAGCTTAATTGTATTTCTGAGGCTATCACCGTGGGTTTTATTGCGATATTAACTCTCCAAAAGGCAAATCACCGTGGGTTTTGTGATATCACTGCATTCTTTAGGCTATCACCATGGGTTTTATTGAGATAAGAAACCGCCAACAGGCCTATCACGTAGTGTTGTGTGATCTTATCTGCATGATTTGAGGGTATATCCATAAGTTTAATTGCGATAAGAACACTGTAAAAGGCCTATTACCGTGGATTTTTTTTAGCTTTACTGAATTCTTAAGGCTACCACTGTTGGTTTTATTGCAAGAACAAACCTCTAGAAGCCCTATCAGCGCGGGTAGTGAGAATTTTACCGTATTCCCAGTATCTCCTTGGGTTTTATTGAGATCAGAACCCCCTGGAGGGCCTATCTCTAGTCCCTAGTTGTGAGGGCTTGACTGTATTTCTGAGGCAATCTCCAAGGGTTTTATTGCGATGGGATCCCTCTAGAAGACCTATCCCTGAGGCTATCAACGTCAATTTAATTGCAATAAGATTTCTCTTAAAGACCTATGACCGTGGGATGTTTGATCTTTACCTTATTCCAAAATGCTATATTCTTGTGATTTATTGCGATAAGAACCCTACAAAATGCCTATTACCGTGGATTGTATGAGCCTAACTGTATTCCTAAGGCTATTACTTTGAGCTTTATTGTGATAAGAACCCTTTAAAAGGGCTATCACCGTTGGTAATGTGAGCTTTTCTCTATTCCTGACGCTATACCGTGGTTTTTATTGCGAGAAGAATCTTCCAAAAGGCCTATTACCGTAGGTTGTGTGATCTTAACAGTATTCCACGAGGCTATCTCCGTGGGTTTTATTACGATAAGAACCCTCTAAAAGGCCTATCACCGAGGATTGTGTGAGCTCTACTGTATTACTGAGGCTATTATCCTGGTTTTTTTCACCGTAAGTTTTGTAAGCTTTACTGTATTCCCTGAGGCTATCAACGTGAATATTATTGCGATGAAATTCCTCTTAAAGGTCTATGACCTCGGGTTGTATGAGCTTTACCTTTTTCCAAAATGTTATCTTCGTTGGTTTAATTGCGATAAGAACTTACTTGAGGCCCATCATCGTAGGTTGTATGAGCTTTACTGTATTCCCGAGGCTATCACCGAGTGTTGTTTTGCAATAAGAACCTTCTAAAAGGCCTTGCACTCAGAGTTGTATGAGCTTTACTGTGTTCTGACAGATATCGACGTGGGTTTTATTGCGATATTAACGCTTCAAAAGGACTATCATTTATGGTTGTGCTATCTTATCTGTATTATTTGAGGGCATTTATTTTATTTTAAATCACCGTTAAATCACCGTTGGTTTTGTGAGATTTTCCTCTTTACTGTATTCCTGAGGATATCACAGTGGGTTTGATTGCAATAAGAAACCTGAAAAAGACCTATCAACATGGGTTGTGTGAGCTTAACTTTATTTCTGAGGCTATATACGTTGGTGTCATCG